TTGAAGTTCGGAAAGGGTTAACGTCACCACTCCTCGCAAATCTTCGCCTGCAAATTTTGGAGAGCCATTTCCTTGCCCGATAAGGTGATCTGATAGTTTTTAAGAACTATAAGAGTGTGGGGCAGTTTTGAACTGAAGCCAAATTAAGTTTAAATTGGCTGAATTCTTTCCAATTAAAGGGATTAAGGCATACAAAAAATGGATACAAAAATGGGATACAAAAATGGGATACAAAAATAGGATACAAAATAGGATACAAAAATTTTACTGAAAGAAGTGAAAATGAAAGAAATGAAAGAAAGAAAGAAAGAAAGAAAGAAATGAAAGAAAAAGAAAGAAATGAAAGAAAGAAAGAAAGAAAGAAAGAGAGAGGAAAGAAAGAAAAAGAAAGAAAAGAAAATCAAATGAAAAAGTTTCAATGATTTTTGGTTATTTTTATTGATTTAAATGTGATTTCAAATGTGACAGGAATTTGAAAAAAAAATTGAAACCAAAAGTCTTTCAAATACATCTTTCAGTAAAGAACCGTAGTTTTCTTTTTCCCCCATAATGCCAATTTGTTTCTTTTTCTTTTCTTTTCAAAACCGGAAACTTCTTTTGAAATCTAATTTTTGCTGTTCATTCAAAATGACACAAAAAGGAAAAAAAAAGAATACTTTTAGTGTGTTCATTTGAAAGAAAGCAAAGCAGCACACACAAGTAAAGCGTTACACAATAATGGGTCAAATTTGTTCAGTTCAAAAGAAGTTCAAATTGTATAGAGAAATTGGGATAAACACGCTTTTTTTTGATTGAGTTTTCTTATTGTGAAAAGTCTAGTGACGATAGTAAAGCCAAAAAAAAAAATCATAGATGAAAGTTGAATTGGAAAGATTTTGTCTTTTTATTTACTACCAGGTCTTTTTTTACTATCAAACAACCAGGCCGGTTGTTTAGCAAGGCTGATACCCAAAAACAATTATCCAGTCATCGCCTTTTTTGATAAAACCGATATTCCTCGAGAACGAAATGACATCCAATCATTCCAATCTGTATTCTTTATGCGATCCCTCTGTGATCCCATCCATCAAATCTCCGGCTCAAATTTCCAAGCTGTTTGTCAACTCAACTCAATAGCGTTTTGCCAATTGGCACTTTCTCTCTTTCCCTTGCACCTCGATAAACATTGGAAATACTTTATACTGTTCTATAGAGAAATTTGGGATAAACACGTTTTGATTGAGATTGATTGAGTTTTCTTATTGTGAAAAGTCTAGTGACGATAGTAAAGCCAAAAATCACGAGATAAAAGTTGAATTGGAAAGATTTTGCAAAATTGGGCTTCAAAAACGCTAAAATAGAAAGGTTAAGAATTTCAAAAAAAAAAAGTAAAACAATTGGAAAATGGCTAAACTAATTGTTGTAACTGAACTGGAATAGTTAGAGAAGCTTTTGGAAATCGGAAATGGTTAAGGTAACGTCAAAACTCTGACTTTCGCAACTCAACCTCCCAACTGAGAAAGCTATTTAAAAACTCGAGAAGGTGATCTGCCAGTAAGCAGCTTTACTTTCATTGAGTAAGTGCAGCTTTACTATTGAGCGTAAGCAGCTTTACTATTGAGTAAACAGCTTTACTATTGAGTAAACAGGTGCTTTGTGACCAAGCAAAACCAGGTCAGACCCACCTCAATCTGGATGCAATTTCTGCTTGAAATTTTAGCTAATCGGATCACCATGATGAAAACCTTTACTTTAATGTTCTCTAGCTTACATACTTCAACTTTAAGTTGTCGTTAGTAGATCCGTTCTTCATCGTCAAGTTAATTGAGAAAAGAATCCATCCTTAAAAAACGTATTGTAATAAAATCAAAGAATAATCAAAAAGGCCAAAGAAATGAATGCGAATGATTGATAGAGTGTAAGTAAAATCTCGAAAAAAAACTTGAGTAAAATCTCGTGAGTAATTTTCTCTTTTATTTGATATATTCTCTCTAATATAGTGAAGCGTGCACCCTAAGCGTTGCCTAAGTAAATTCGTCGAAATCTCAAACCGCTTATCAGAACCTTATCGATGCTTCTAAGCTTTAAGCTACTTGAGCTTTAAGCTGCTTGAGCTTTTAGCTACTTCGGAGTTCCTTAAGTCGTCAGCTAGTAGATCCGTTCTTCAAAGACGGGTCAAGTTGATTGAGAAAGAATCCATCCTAAATCTAGCTGACGATGAGATCTAGTGGGGGATTGGAGTGTTGAGCTTCTGGGAAAACTGTGGAAGCCGTAAAATAGTCATCAACTCGGCTCGACGGGGTGCACTACTATTAGAGAAAATCCGGTATTGGCCAGATAGTCGTCCGGTTAGGAATCTTGTCTCTTACGCGAAAGGTCGAGGTTTCAAACACGCTAGCAAGATAGAAATGTTTCCTTTTTGCCCACAAAGTGCACTACTATTAGAGAAAATACGGTAATCGACGTTTTTGTTCAAAAAAACTACGAGTAATCCTCTTTACGCATCGAGTAAATTGAATATCTTTACATTTGAAGGGAATTTTCGGCCAAATCAATTGAACGGCTGAATATCTTTAAAAAGAGTCGTATAAAAGTTTTGGAAAGTTTAAAATGTTCAATGAATCTTTCAGTTTCTGCGGCTCTCGAGCGATTCTTTCTGGTCCAGCTGGTGGGGTTGTTGGTGTGGCGAGGACAGCTTACAATGAAGAGACTAAAAAACCAGTGATCGGTTTCGATATGGGAGGGACGAGCACAGATGTTAGTGATGATTGAGTCTTTAATTTTGATCATTTTTTCGGTTTGTCGCTATTCGGGTGAGTTGGAGCACGTGATGGAGACGACAACAGCCGGGATAACCATTCAAGCACCACAGGTCAACTCTTGTAAAGCTCTTGCAGCTCTTGCAGCTCTTGCAGCTCTTGTAGCTCTTGTAAAGTCAAGATCACGTTCAAGTTTTGAAGATTTAAATTTATGCAAAATTTTCAGTTAGATATAAATACAGTGGCTGCTGGTGGTGGATCGCGGCTCTTCTTTCGGAATGGTTTATTTGTAGTTGGGCCAGAGTCAGCGGGAGCTCATCCTGGGCCTGTTTCTTACAAAAAGGTTCTCCACAAATAACTGTGGCTGAGTTTAAACGGTTGATTTTTTTTGTTTTAGAATGGTTATCTAGCCGTCACTGATGCAAATCTCGTTCTCGGTCGAATTCTGCCAGAATATTTCCCAAATATCTTTGGTCATTCAGCAAATCAACCGCTTGATAAGTTTGTTAAATAAAAAGGGATTAAGCTTTTAGAATTTAGAGAAGCTGCATTGAAAGCTTTTGAAGAATTCGCAAAAGATGTGAACAAACACGTGAAAGAGAATCGAGAAGCGATACAGGTTGGATTTTTATTGTAAAACTTGTAACTATTTATATTAGAGTGTGTTCCACGCGAGTAATGCGTTTTTTTAAAAAGCACACTTGGGGGAAGAAAATGCCGTACTTTTAGCAAAAAATGACGCAAAAAAATGGGATAGGCTACTTTGCGCCAAATTTTTTTGCGCAACTCGCCATAACTTTCTTTTAAGTCGACCAATCTTTATGAGTTTAATGTCATTTTGTAGATCTCAACAAATGCAACAAAATGAAACCAAAATCATAAAGATTGGCTGACTTAGAAGAGAATTATGGCGAGTTGCGCAAAGTAGGCTAATTTCCGCTAGGTCGTTTGCGCAACTCGCCATAACTTTCTTCTAAGTCGGCGAATCTTTATGCTTTTGGCGTCCTTTTGTTACACTTATTGAGATCTACAAAATAAAACTAAAATCATAAAGATTGGCCCACTTAGAAGAAAGTTATGGCAAGTTGCGCAAAAAAATTAGACTACCCCGAAAAAATGACGAGCTCCATCTTTTATACGACTTTTAAAGATATTCAGCCGTTCAATTGATTTGGCGGCAAATTCCCGTCAAATGTAAAGATATTCAATTTACTCGACGTGTAAAGAGGATTACGAGAGTGGGACAAATGCGACCTTTTTTTTGCGCACCTTGCCCATTAGCGCACCTTTTTTCGCATCTTAAAAAAGCTCTAAAAGCTAATATTAACCAATTTCTATTCCAAAAGTTGTTTTTCTAGGTAATTTGAGGGTGTCGAATTCAAATTTTGACATAACAGAGCGTGTGGAACCAATTTGAAAGACAATTTGAAAGGCTAGATCAAATTACAGAAAATTGTTGATTTTTCTCTTTGTATAACTCCGTCCGTTTGTTTCCACAAGCTCTGATATGTCAAAATTTCGATTCTACTCCCTAAAATTACCTAGAAAAACAACTTTTGGAATAGAAATTGGTTAATATTAGCTTTTTAGAGCTTTTTAAAACGCGAAAAAAGGTGTCCGGGTGCGCAAAAAAAAGGTCGCATTTGTCCCACTCCCAGGATTACTCGTAGCTACTCGACCAAAAACTCGATTAATCAAATAAAAGAAATTACTCACGAGATTTTATTCAAGTAATTACCGTAAATACTGTAATAGTACCCCACCGCCCTCGTACAGTCGCGTAGTCGCAAAAGTTTTTTAGTATTTCATTGTTTTTCAAAGCGCCCGTACTTTCAAAAAAAGCGTCTTTGGTATCAAAAAATAGCTGAAATTCAGGGCTATTTTTTGATACCTAAGCGAACACTGTAGCATAAATCAGTGTCGAGAAAAACGCGTTTTTTCGGGATGATTGCGTAGTCTAACTTTAAACATCCCGTTCTCCGCGCTCCTTTATGCTACAATGTGCACTTTGGTATCAAAAAATAGCCCTGAATTTCAGCTATTTTTTGATATAAATTGTAGCATTGTAGCATAAACGAGTGTCGAGAAAAACTCGTTCAAAGCTAGACTACGCAACACTCCGCGCCGTCATTATGGGGATTGGGTACAATTACAGTATTTACGGTACTTTCTCGCGAGGAGCACTCTCCAATTTCTATTGTTTAAGAAAAAGTACACAATCGAAGAAGTGGCTTGGGTTGTATCGCGGTGGCAAATGAGGAGATGTGTCGACCGATTCGGGCACTTACACAGGTTTGACATATTAGTATAAAGTTCTAGTCCAGTTGGTAACGTAATACCTTTAATAGTAGTCATGTATAGTCCCCCCTCCCCGTATAGTCGCGTAGTCGCAAAAATTTTTTATTAAATCATCTTTTTCTAAGCGCTCGTAGTTTCTAAAAATATATTTTTAATATCAAAAAATAGCTCTGAATCTCAGCTTTCATTTGATACATAAGCGAACACTGTAGCATAAATAGGTGGCAAGAAAACGCGTTCAAAGCTAGACTACGCGATGCTCCGCCCGTCATTGTTGCTACTATTAGAGGTATTACTTTAGGATTTGTTGAACATCTGTTTCAATTGCATCTTTCTGCTAGTTCTGTTCTTTTCTGCTCTTTTCTATTCTATTCTATTCTATCAGTTCTATCAAAAGTTTAGGCTAAAGGCTATGATACATCGGATCATGTGCTCGCGTGTTTTGGTGGCGCTGGTGGGCAACACGCTTGTGCAGTGGCAAGGACTTTAGGTGATTGTTTTTAGAAATTTCGATATTTTTTGATGACTCTGGTATTACTCTGATATTTTAGGTATCCGTGAAGTGTTCGTTCACAAATATTCGGGTGTTCTCTCTGCTTATGGGATCGCATTAGCCGATGTTGTGGCTGAGATGCAAGAACCAGCACAAAAAACATTCAATAAAGGTAGTAAATTAATTTAAGATCACCTTTAAACTAATTCTTTTTTAAGAAAACTTTCCATTCTTCGTCAAGCGTTTTACTCATCTTGCCAAAGAAGCTAGTGAACAGTTGAAAGCTCAAGGATTCGAGGTGGATTTGATTGGCTTAATAAAACTAATAAAGAAGAACACAACTAATTGGAATACTTAAACAAATTCAGCTATTGTTTTGATAAAAACAATAGCTGAATTTTTGTGTGTCTGATGTCATTTACTAGAGTCGTTTACTAGACTAGAGTCATTTACTCTCAAAATAATATAGAAAGTCGTACAGAGCTAGACGCAAGCTTTCAAATTTGACAATAATTTTCCTTTCTTCCAGGACTCATCAATTGAAGCCGAATTCTACCTTCACATGCGATATTTCAAAACCGATTGTGCTATCATGATTTGTGCCCCGTTTAAACCGGGAAATTCTCGTCCTGAAACAATTGAAAAATTCATGGAAATTTTTCGGTAACTTTTTTTGCTTTCAATTTTTTTAAATTTATCAATTTTCAGATCCACTTACAAACGGGAATTCGGTTTCATTTTGGAGAATCGAGAGGTGCAAGTCGATGATATTAGGTTGGAAAGATTTCTACTTATGCTTTGGAAATTTAAGAAAAGACAAATTCACCTTTCTGGCACAGATTTCTACTTGTGCTTTGGAAATTTATGGAAAGACAAATCCACCTTTCACAGAAAATTTGTCATCTAATGAAGAATCCAGTGCGCTGACAAGGCTGGGTTTAGCACAAAGTACAAAGACACTTCTAGAGCACTAGAGAACCTTTGATTCGTGAGCTGTTCAATCATTTAACTCCAAACTGTTTAACCATTCTTTCCAGAGTTCGCGGAATCGGGAAGAGTGAAATCAAGATTCGAGAGAAGATCGAGCACTGCGATGATCCGTTGAATGCGCCGTCAATCGGGCAAAAGGATTGTTATTTTGAGGTGATTTGACAAGGGGATTTTGATAAACAAATAATACTCATACGGGAGGAAACTAGGTAAGGATTATAGCCTGTAAATATAAAAGAAGATAGCTACTATATATAAAAGAACAGTGTCCGTCTGCCTGCCCGTCCGTTCGTCTGTCTGTCTGTCTGCCCGTCCGTTCGTCTGTCTGTCTGTCTGCCCGTCCGTTCGTCTGTCTGTCTGTCTGTCCGTCTGTTCGCCGTCCATCTGTTTGCCCGTCCGTCTGATCTGTCCATCTGTCTGTCTGTCTGTCCGTCCGTCTGTCCGTCCGTCTGTCCGTCTGTTCGCCCGTACATCTGTTCGTATGGGGCTTTTTCTCAGCCGTCTTTAGGCCAGAAAAAACTGAAACTGTTCTTAAAAGTCTTAAAATCTAATATAATTGTGCCATCTTAAATGAAAAATAAAAAATTCAAGATTGAGTGGCACTGCGGGGGTCTAACCCGGGCCGCCTGGGTCGTAGACAAACGTGCTTCTGACTGAGCCACGGTAACAAAAACCTGCAGAAAAACCCGCCGGGTTTTTCGGCTTTATAATAAGGATAGTATTCAAATTACAGTATTTTATCTAGGATGGCCCACAAAAGACTCAACTCTACGATTTGAAGGGTCTACAAGGGGGACATATTGTAAAAGGACCCTCAATAATCATCGACGCTAACAGGTTAGATAAAACGATCAATGATCAACAATTATAATTGTTTAAATTACTGTAAAGTACTCTGGCATATTGGAAACGATTTGAGTCAACAATCGACAATCCTTTATTTTACAATCGTAAATGTTTTCAGTACAATTGTTGTCGAGCCCGGCTGTACAGCAACGATCAGTGATGAGGGAAATGTGCGAATTGAAGTGGCATCGATGAGTGAGAGGGATAAAAGTACACAGGTGAGATTTGAGAAAGATAAGAATAGGAGAATTTTTTTAGGTTGACCCAATTCGTCTATCGATTTTCTCAAATCGTTTCATGTCAATCGCTGAACAAATGGGGCGAGTACTGCAGAGGACATCGATATCAACGAATATAAAAGTGATCTTTACATATTGTAACTTGTTTAAGAAAATCCTATTAGATTTTACATAAATTTCCTTTGCTAAAAAGACAAAAGTTTCTTTTCCAGGAACGTCTCGACTTTTCGTGCGCTCTTTTTGGGCCCGATGGTGGGCTTATCGCGAATGCACCCCATATTCCGGTTCATTTAGGTCTGATATTTTTATGAGTTTCAAGTTTTAGAGTACAATAAAATATAATAAACAATGATATCATGTTCTTTAATGAATCTTAGAATCTTAGCCATTCTAAGAGAATTCTAAGGGATTCCTCGTCTAGTTCTTAGGATCTTAGCGCTTCTAAGAGAGTTCGAAGAGATCCTTGTCTAGTTCTTAGAATCTTAGCCCTTCTAAGAGAGTTCTAAGAGATTCCTTGTCTAGTTCTTAGATCTTAGCGCTTCTAAGAGATTCCTAGTCTAGTGCGTAGAATCTTAGCCTGTCTCTGCCTGATCCTTGTCTAGTTCTGAGGATCTTAGCCATTCTAAGAGAATTCTAAGAGATCCTTGTCTAGGTTCTATAAACCTAAACTAGAATTGAAAGCTTTTAAGCTTAAGCTTTTAATCCTAAACTATGATTAAATCTAATCAAATAGGCGGAATGCAGTATGCGGTGAAATTTCAAATCTCGAATCTCGGTTCGGATGGAATCCATGAAGGGGATGTCATTCTATCGAATCATCCAAAAGCCGGTGGAAGTCATTTACCGGATTTAACTGTGATCACGCCGGTGAGTTTTTTGGAAAGAAATAAAGTTCAGAATAAAAGTTTGCTCGAGTTCTAGTTCAAAACCGTTTAGCTATATTTCAGGTTTTCCTTCCAGGAAATCAAAACCCAGTGTTCTTTTTGGCGAACCGGGGTCATCACGCGGATATTGGAGGTCTTGTGCCTGGGAGTATGCCACCGAATGCCACACAATTATTGCAGGTAAAAAAAAAAAGATTTTTGAAGTGCTAAGAGTATCGTAAATCTCTTAGGAAGGTGCTACATTTGTCTCTTTCAAAATCGTGGATCGTGGGAATTTCCAAGAGGAGCAACTCATTGAACTCTTGAATGCACCAGGGAAAGTGAAAGGTTAAGATTGTTAGTTAATAAGAAAGACGATTGTTTATTGATTAAAAGAGAATATTAACATTGAATTCATCAATTCAATTCATCAATTTCCATCAATTTCCATCAAATTCCATCAAATTCCATCAATTTCCATCAATTTCCATCAAATTCCATCAATTTCCATCAAATTCCATCAAATTCCATGAATTTCCATCAAATTCCATCAATTTCTCTAGGTTGTTCCGGTACTCGTCAATTGAGTGACAACATCTCCGATTTGAAAGCTCAAATTGCTGCCAACAATAAGGGAATCGATTTGGTGATCGCTTTAATTAAAGAGTATGGTTTGGAGGTGTGATGGGAAAAGATATTTCAGAAATTTTAAATGAATTAAGGTCGTTCAAGCCTACATGCAACACATTCAAAACACGGCCGAGGAAAGTGTCCGCGATTTGCTCAAAAAAGTGAGTCTTAAATCTCCTTTTCTTCAAAAGCTCTACACTCGGCTTTCATCTACGGAGCTTGGGTAATTGAATCGACTAATCAAAAAGCTGCAGCAAGCTTGAAGAGCCCGAGTTTTTAGCAAAACTTGGGTACCGTATTTAGCCCTCCCTCGACCTCTAATCAACGCCCTCCCTCGACCAACTTTAGACGCCCTCGTTCTCAGTCCCATTTTGAGAGATTTTTATGTTTAATATATCAAAAAATAGAATTCATTAAGGGCTATCTTTTGGTATATTAAACATAAAAATCTCTCAAAATGGGACTGAGTACGAGGCGTTTAAAGTTGGTCGAGGGGGACATCAAAAGACTCGTTCCCTTCCCTTCAACCAACTTTAAACGCCCTCGTTCTCAGTCCCATTTTGAGAGATTTTTATGTTTGATATACCAAAAAATAGAAGACATTAAGGGCTATCTTTTGGTATATTAAACATAAAAATCTCTCAAAATGGGACTGAGAACGAGGCGTTTAAAGTTGATCGACGGAGGGCGTTGATTAGAGGAAATCCGGTAACTGAGCTGGGATTGAAGAGCAAAAATCGTGAACAAGTCACTCTGGAAATACTTGAGTAATTGAGTCAACTTATCAGAAGGACTCTTTCAACTCTCTAATCGCAATGAAAAACCGACAAATTCTAGGTGGGTCAAAGAGTCGAAGAAGAGACCGGTCGCTCATCGCTGAGCGCCGAAGATTGGATGGATGATGGCACGATTTTGAAGTTGACTGTTGATATTGATTCACAAAAGGGAGAAGCTGTTTTTGATTTCACGGGAACTGGCCCTGAGTGTCTTTGGTCAACGAATGCACCGAATGCGGGTGGGTGGTTCAGAAAGGAAATTCGAAACGAATTTCTCGTCCACCAAATCGTTTAAACGTTTCGAATCGTTTCGTTTAAACATCAAAAACCGATTACGGTACCTATTTCACCCTTTAGAAGCGAGTTTTTCAACAATAATTACAATTTAAGTGACTCTGTCAGCGGTCACCTATTGTCTTCGCTGTCTCGTCGCCAGGGATATCCCGTTGAATAGCGGTTGTTTGACACCAGTGAAAGTGAGTTGAGCTTCCAAAATCCAAAGCTAAAGCTAGCTAGCTGTTTCAAGTTTGAAATCAAGTCGTACCCTTCCTTTTATCCAACCTCTAGATCGTGATCCCGCCGAATTCCCTTCTCGATCCATCAGAGAACGCGCCAGTCGTCGCAGGGAATGTTCTGACCTCACAACGAATTTGTGATCTCATTTTTAAAGCCTTCACAGCAGTGGCGGCTAGTCAAGGTAAAGCCAAAAGTCAAAAGCCAAAAATGTTCTCCCAAAATTCAGGTTGTATGAACAATGTGACTTTCGGCGATAACGAGTTCGGTTACTACGAGACGATAGCCGGTGAGCGGAGCGGGCTTTGTATTCCTTTTGTAGCCGATCGTAAGCGAAATATGCGATTCATTTACAGGTGGAGCCGGTGCGGGTGATGGTTTTGATGGTCGTAGCGGGGTTCACACTCACATGACAAACACGAGGATCACCGATCCCGAGATTCTAGAAACAAGGTCAAGCTAGTGCCAGTCAATTTGTTGAAAGGTTTTTAATGCCAAAAAGCTTCTGTTGAGTTCATTTTTATCCATAAAAATCGCATTTCCTAGATACCCTGTGATTCTTCGTCAATTTTCGCTTCGTCCAAACTCGGGTGGTCACGGGAAATGGAGAGGCGGTGACGGAGTGATTCGTCGGCTTCAGTTCCGAAAGCAATTACAAGTCTCTCTGTTAACTGAAAGAAGGTTTGTGGAAAGATATTAAATTAAATAGTCTCTATGGAGCCAAATTTCAGAACTTTCTCCCCATATGGTCTTTTCGGTGGTGAACCTGGGAAACGTGGCCAAAACCTTTTACATCGGAAAAATCGTAAGCTGAATGTTGGCGCAAAAATTACCATGGATGTGGAGCCTGGGGTGAATATTTCAAAACTCGCAGAATTTTTCAAACTTACCACTCTAAACGCAAAATTTCAGGATGAGCTCGAAATTCTGACCCCAGGTGGTGGAGGCTATGGATCAAAGGATGAATAATGTGATATTTTGTAGTTGGTTCGAAAAGTTGATAGCATTTATAAATATAAATCCTAAAACCGTTAAATGAAATACCCGAATGTGAGCTAAAATAACAACGTGATAAAGAGCAAATATATGCAAGCTCAAACAAAAAAACAACCGGAGATCATTTGTCGGTGACATCGGGATTCAATTGTTCCATCATTTGGTCGATCTTCGCTTCCAATGCTGAGATGATATCCTTTTCAACGAAGAGATGCGTCTCGTCGAGATCCTGGAAAAAAATGGAATTCGTATAAAGATCACTTTTAAAGTGCAAGTAAGTCTTGTCTTGCTAGCGCATTTTAGCTAGACACCAAAGTTATTTTACCATTACAGTTAAATGAAACATTACAAACCTTGATAATAAACTTGCTGCCCAGTTCCCGCGATTCATCGAGATTGATGAGGAGTTGGTGCATCGCCGGATCGCAAGTTATCATCACGCCCTTCTTCACATTCACCATCGGATCGACAAGATTTCTGAGCAATTTTATTTATAAATGTAAAATCACAACGAAAATACCCGAAACGAGGTAACAAAGCACGAAAACGTAATGCATAACAAAAAATTTCATCGGGAATAAATATAGGTGGTCTTTAGATCTAATAAGAATAAGATCTATTAAAAGAAAAAGATCCTGTGATAATAAGCTTTCACAAATTTTAGTCCAAAAACGTAAACGCAATCAATTCTTGAGGCTTTCAAGCTTGCAGCCGAGCAATCCTTGTCCACTCCATTTACGAGGCGTAATCTCCAATCGAATTGGTCGTTCCTTCCTTAACACCGTTACTCGCAAAATCTGACTCTCGCTGTTCATCGCCGTATCAACCACGTCTTTCATGTTCGTGAAAACATCGTAGTGAACGGGTCCCCATTGAAGCAATTCATCGCCCTTCTTTAAGCCGTCCACATCCGATGGCGAGCCGGGAATCACATCAAGAACTTTCGCAAATGTGTTGTTTGAGGTGCGATGAACGATCGGATAATTGCTTTGTGAATCGTTTGCTGGGTCACCGTGAGCCACCTAAAGTCGAAAATTAAATGTTTTAAAATAATACTACAAAATTTTATGGTTGAATCCGTCTATAAAACTATGAGAAAATAATAAACCACACCTGAAGCTGAACCAAGATATCCTCCTCGAGCTGCTTACGATCGTTTTGAAGACGAATGATCTCAACTCGAGCAAGACGAACAGAATACACATCGACCGACGCGATGGGAAAGCCTTCTTGATCCACCAATGGCGAGTCCATCGTCGCATTGCTTGCTTCAAGAATCTCGCGTTGATCGGCCAATTTTCTGTCGATCTCCTCGCGTTTTTCCACCAACTTCTTCAACGTGTCCATTTCTAAAGAAAAATTTTTTCAATCAAATTAACAAGTACACTTTTCAAGCTAGTAAAACATGCCCAATCAATAGTCGATACTTTCATGAAAAAACATGACATTTCCAAAACATGTTAAAATATAAATATTTATTTTCCCTAAACTTTGACTATTTAAAATATCACAGTCGGTTCGCTACCCGTAAAGTTACAAAAGTGAAACATTACAATGCATCTATAAATGCACAAATATAAAAGTTAATATAAAAAAGCAATAACTATAACTATAACTATACAAGTTTTTACAAATTCTTTTTATCGCTCAAAGCCGTTTGAACCTCTTTTGAATCAATCCATAAATGGCGGAAAGATCCTAAGTTGAATTGCTTGTACGTAAAAGATCAGTAAAATCCGTACCTCTTTATCGAATTTGGTGCCGCATCGAACAACCTTTCCATCTTCACAATATGATCCATTTGGGAGATCATCACGGAAAGCCGTGTGTAAACAGAGAAGAGCCGCATCTTCAGCATTCCTTAAAAATCTAGTGCAATGTTTAAAACACAGACAATATCTGATACCTCAAAAAGAATGGTAGAATAAACGCGGTGGCGAATCGTGTGATTGGATTCGTATTACGATAAAGACCACTGGGGACAACACCTGGATGCACTGTAATCACTTGATGACCTGGATGGCTGGTCCGCATCGATCTAGAGTAATATCTTTTGGTCGTGAATTGTATAACCTATTAAATAGACTTAAAATAACAATTTGTGCCACATCTTTCTTCAAAATTTCTTTGAAATACTTTAAAATCAACTTACAAAGTTAATTGTTCCCCCATAAGAAGCCAAGAGTAACTTTGATGATGCGTAAGCTTGATAGGGTCCTGCCGCCGAGTACAACAATTGAGTACCTAAACATTTGATAGTTAATACGAATGTGAAAGCTAAACCTTACCTGATTTAATCATTCGCTTTGTCACGAAAGCCCCGTGGCTACAGCAGCTACCCACCAGCAGTATTCGATTGTCGCGTGCCAAAACGGGATGAAGACTCTAAAAAACAATTCGTAAGCCTTGTTTTAGCAACATACCTCTATCATAAGCGCGTGTGAAATTACATTTACATTCATCCCATCAGCGACAGCTTGATCGTTCCACTAAATCTAGAAAGTTGTAATCATTGTCAAAACATGGACACTTACCATATCTCTCGGATGTAAGACACCAGCGTTACAAATCACCAAATCAATTTGCAAGTTCTCCTTCTTGAAGTCACCAACAAACTGCGCTACCTGAATTGAAGAGTTAAAACGTTTGAAAATTGATTTACCTTGTCAAGTTTGCTTAGATCGCATTCGTGAAAGTGAAGTTTTGTGGCAGGCCCGTTAGGAATTCCATGCGAAGTAAAGAAATCCTCCGCTCGAGTTCGACTTGACGTTACCACGTGAATGAACCAACCCCTCGTAATGAGATGTTCGACAAACTAAAAATGAAAATTTAGCAAAAAGTTTCCAAATATATACAGTAAACTCTGTATCTCCACGCAAATCTTTATTGCAAACCCAACCTTGTGCCCAATAGTCCCATCACCACCAGTAATCAACGCGATTTTGCTGGCTCGATTGTTGAAGGCAGAGTTGGTGAACTAAAAATGAAGGTTATCATTAAAATTAATATAACGTCGAGTTTTGGCAAAATTTGCATTTAACTTTTCATATAAAATGCTTCCCGTTTTCATGCAAGAGCATTCATTTATTCTTTATTCACCGAATTCGACTCAATGAAGCTCAACGACATGAAGGTTAACGTCGAACCGTCAGAGGGAAATTTCCCGGCCACCGGAGGAAACGCCGTTCATCACATCGTCTCGCTCACCGATATCCGTCTGGCTTTCAAGGTCTACTTTTTCGGGGTTTTTCATTTTAAACGTCTTTCTTTCTTTGTCAACTTAATACATTTTAATTGTTTACTTCCTTCATTTGCAGTTAAATTTACGCTTAAATAATTCATCCGAGTTTCCTATAAAAATCCCATCTCAACTTTATTAGTGCCAAGCTAACGATCTCTTTTAGGTAAAGTCATCGAACAACAATGACTATCGAGTGCGTCCGGTGTACGGCTTTGTGGCCCCGCATGGATACACGGCGCTCGAGCTCTTGCGAAGCAACGGGCCACCAAAGGACAACGATAAACTTGTCATCCAATGGGCTGAGGTGGGGCTTCTGATTCAATGATTTACGCCTTCTGCTTAGGTTCCCGAAGAGGAGACCGATCCGACGGCTCCTTTCAGGTACGAGGCACAAGCCGGCGAAGTGATCCTCCCACTCAGGGCCGAATGATGGGAAAAAGGGACAGTAGAGAAATCGCCTGATCACAATGTATATTGTTTTGTAGTCAATAGTTTCTTTTGTCAATAAATGTCTTCATTGATTGCCCTATTAAAGTTTATGACCGCAGACAAACAAACCTCAGCCCACAGTTTGTACCACCTCGGCGTTGTGCGCACCGCGAATATAGCTTCTTTGATGATGTAGTAGACGGCCAAAATGTGCACCTAAACAAAAGAATAAAATACACATCGAAATACAATTTTGGGAAATAGAAATTTACTTACTTGTATAACGACGAGCAGTTCAATTAAATAGGTGTTCGGGCTGACATCGAGTTGAAGCCGCTGGGCCAAATCGGCAAGTATCATCTCTGAAACGAGAAAATCAACAGTAGACATTGTGAAAAACGAATTAAAACCGCCTAAAACTTTGAATCTACCAAAAATGTATGCAAAATACGAGAAACGGACACCGAATGTTGAATTCCAATCGTTTCGAAATGCCTGCAGATATAAAAATTTTCGGATATTAAAGGTAAATAGAATGCTATTCAGCCAAATACAAAGCCTTATATAAACACCTTAATGTTTTATATGTACCGCCAACCTTTATGAAGCTGGACTTGAACCCGAACCTTCAAACTTGATTGTGGCTTAAAACAACCATGTATTTAATGAAAGTAAACAAAAAATGTTCCCATTTTCTTTTCAAAACCTTTATTTCACGAAGAACCACCAAAAAAAATAGTGTCATAAAAAGAGAGCCACTTTTTGAAAGAAAACCGTAAAAAACGATCGGTGTAAGTGCGTGTTATGTGAAGAAACACAAAGATATTAATCGATTAAAATAATTCAATTTTTTTTGCTATGAAAGGATCTTTTGTAATTAGACAGGAATAAAATAATCGCAAAATAAAGCACATAAATTCAAAGTTAAAACACCAAAATGAAGTCTAGTTTCATCAGAAAAGACTACAAAATTCAGGTCCACCAAAGAAGAAAGCAAAAATTGGGATCAATACTGCCAGCAATGAGGAGCGACTTCCCAAAAAAGAGAGGCTTATTTGAGATTGGAATGTACATTTGCTCTGAAAGTTAAGTCAACTGATCTAAAACTAGTGAAAATTGTTGAGAAAGCAGCTATGCAGTTTCAAAATAACATGACAAGATGAAATTCCGCGTCGAGAGTCGTCATTTCGTCTACGTTCTTTGGCCACGAGCGGAATTCGGTGTTGCAACACGGAGTAGATTTGTGGTTCGATCCTAAATTAAACTTTATGAAAATGCTGAACTATTATCTCCCAAGAACATGGGATAAAGGTTGTAGCCTTAAAGCTTTACCTTAAGCGAATCTTTTTCATGAAGTCGTTCTCGCATCGCATTCAAGCGTTCCAAGATTGCCGCCTGTTTCTCCGAGTTCTTCTTCAATGTAAACGAACGGTACTGGGGTGCCTAAAGTTGGGGGATAATCTTATTTGTTATTTGAATTCAAAATCAAAAGTCACACCAGAAATCATAGGAGTTAAGCTGCTTCAAGATTAGCAAAGGTCAGCAGTTAATCGCCAACCATGATGTGACTGACACGAAGTTGAACCTTGTTACGTATACCAATCCACCAGACATTTAATGGTCAAGGAACTCATATTCAACGAAAAGAAAAGAAACTCAAACAAAACAAACACCACCACAAAACGTTTCATTTACTACCTCATTGGTTTCATTACGGAAGTCAAAGCAAAATGAAAGTTGCTAAAAGATTTTTGGTCGAATCATCCGTTAAATTTAAATTGCTTGTGAAAAAAAGAACTTGATTTAAATTTAGTAACTTTAACATTAAGCTACAAGCATACCCGGCTCTTGAATTGATCCAAAAGTGGTGAAGCCGGTCGGTTTTTGGTCGCATCATCCGTTGATGCCAAGTTCAACATCGATGAGCGCAGTCGTTCCATTGACGGGAATCGTTGTTCGGCCAAGCGACGGGTTTCCGGTGCCATTGAATCCTAAAATAAATAGTTCAAGTAGAAAAGTTTTAAAATTTACCTGAGACTCTTGGTTTTTCGCAGCTCCTAGCTCGCCGAGTCGTTTATGGAAAAGTGGTGTGTTGTTGGTGCCAGAGCGAGTTCTTCCCAACGAAGCCACTGGGGATTGTGAAATCGAGTAGAGCTAAAACACTTAATTACCAATTTAATAAAATAAATTTACTTTATCATGTTGATTGTTGCTGGCGAAACGATTTTCAGCATCACTATCCTGTACATTAACTGAGGGAATTGATGGAGAGCGTCTAAAGACAAATCAAATAAATGAAGCACTAATCAACTTACTGTGACTGAGCTCTTGAGGGACTCGCCGAGCCGGACGAAGAAGCATCATTGCTGTCAACTGATCTAAAAATTGAAAATGAACCACTTTACAGTATAACATTCCATTTGTAAACTTAAAAGCCTTGTTTCTAAACCAACCCTCTCAAGGCATCATTGGGGCACTTTCGACGCTCACTCTCATTTTGTTACCGCGTCGAACTGGAGTGTAGGAGAAGAGTAGAGATTGCTGAAAATTAAATTAAAAACGTGCAAAATGTTTTCAAAAAAAAAGTCTGTGAAAGTTTTTCTGTTTGGTGTCAATAAGAGATTGGATTGCGAATGAACCCGATGGAATGTTTGAGGTCAGCAATCGGGTAATCCTTTAGATAAGAGACAGCAGAACAAATCAAAGTTTATTTCTAATGAATGGGTTTTTAAGGTGTAAGGTGTTCAATAAAAACGGGAGAGACATATTTTTGGGGTTTTCGATTTGCATGATAAAGGGACTTGGTCGGATTGAGTGATCGGAACTAAATGGAAAAGGCAAAGTTTTGATCAAGATTTATGGTGTTTGTAAATTTACTTTCATTTGAATTTTTGCTGTAATTTGAGAAAAATCGATAAGTAAAGCACTAATAAACGCTCCCATGAACAAGGATAGGAAAAACTGAGCGCGCATATGGTAAATCGTCACCTTTTCTGCATAAAGGTTGTCCCATATGCAAAAGGATCGGAGGAAGAAAGAAGAGAGCGGGAATGATTATGTGAGAATCTTGGGAGAAATTTGAACCAGCAACTAAAAGCCTCTCTATGAGCAAGAGAATGGATAGCAAGAACGAGAATTTTGAGAGAACCATGGATAGATTTTCTAGGGAATTCCCAAAAAGTGAATGAGTAACTCAAAAGTACTCAAAAGTCCGGTGAAAGCCTCATGAAATCAGAATGTGATAAAGATTGAATGGAACTCGTCAAAATGTCTATTAAAAGAGCTCAACGAAATCTCATCTCAAATCACGCGTCATTCGGTTGCAGGAGAAAAAATGGGCGTCGCCATAAAAAATTCGCGTCACATTAGAAAAAAGGAAGCAACGGGTCGGAAGGTACGGGAAGCGATCAAGATAAGGAAATCCAAAAAATTAGCCCTGAAGAATGGGAAGTAGGTGATAGATGAACGCTTAGCGTAATTCGGTCACTGTTTATGACTCGTGAACAACGTTTTTGATGACTTAAGGGGAAAATGAGAATTCCTTTCTAATAGTGCTTTGCAAATTAACGAATTAAATGTAACGCAACAAAAAATATCGCGGACTACGTAAGACAAAAATCCAGTTGAAAACAACGGGACAAGGCTTGATGATGATGAGAAGACCCACTCGGAAACACGGCCCCCACATGTAAACATTCCAGAAAAGAGGAAAAAGACGGGGAAAGGGGATTTGCAAGAGCTCAGGTTTACAAGCTTACGCTGGATGAAATAGGTATCAATAACGTTTTTCAAAAAACGTTTCAAAAAAACGTTATTGATATCGCATTTATCTTTATAGTGATCTTGAAAATTTTGGTCGTTCAAGTTCTGCGAGAAATATTGAAGAAAATAAAATCAATCAAAGATTCTCTGCATATGATTAGAAACTCAATGATTTCTTTGTGAAGAAAAGGGGGCAAACATTGTGGGTGTGTGGAATAAAAATTTCAAAACGTTGTCAAAACTCCCGAATGAGTCACTGAAAAAAAGGCAGTTTGGGGAAATGAAAATTTTATGTTTTTTGATAAACTTTCGCAAAACAATTTTTTGAGGGACCATAAACCTTAAAAGTGCAACTTTTCTTATCTTAAGTAGGCATCATTTTCAAAAAAATGAGAGAATTCTACCAATTGATCCTTATGGTGCTGTCAACGTCAAGCGTTTTTACATAGTACAATTATCCAGATGTTATAAGAAACTCAAGTTCAACGACTACTACTTTAAATGCCGATCCAAGCATGTGTAAGACGAGTATCACAGCTGCAGCAAAAGGCGAGGGTGTTGTCGTGGAAAAAAGGTTACCATGAAAAGCGATGAGAGAAATGTGTGAACAGAAAAGACAAAGGAGGACACCCTCCTTGAACAGTCGTGCTTTCACATCCCATTTTTTCCGCTCCTTCGCGCCAATCCTTTCCCCCTTTCGTTTCATTTTCCATTCACCTTCGTTGCACAAAAATTTGTCAAAGACCGCAGAAAAACTTAAGACCGTGAGACAAGGACAACAAGCGGTTTCCTTTTCAATTCAAACGTGCGTAGATACGCTAACTTGATAAAAACAGCAACTTTCTCTAGAAAAAAGTACTGAATCGAACAAGACAAGAACATCTAAATCAATGGTGAAACTTCTTCAAAGTGTAGCAAAGTGTTGGTCAAACAAAAGTGAGGCAATTCCGCCATGAATCATCAAAAAACGTACGCCTTTTTTACGATCGTCTTGGTCATAAAATGGGACAAGCAAAGTTTGGGTTGAAAGCAAGTCGCAATGTAAAGAAAGACTTCAACATAACATAAGAAAGCTTTTTTCATGGAATGTTGCTTCAAAGAAATTCCCATTGAAAAACTTTCTCTGACTTGAAGATCGTAAAATTTCTCTGACAGTTTTACGGCTAGTCGACTAGCGATTAGATAATTGGAATTAGTTGAAATTTTTTTGAGATCTTTGGTTGAAACATTTTGTTTGAATAAAAAAATATCTACCGGGTCAAGGGCAGCGGGTCGTTGAAGCACTCGACGAGCCGGCTAAATAAAACAATTAGGTATTTGTTTTAAAGCCAAAATTTCAAATTGATACCAAAAAGGAATCATAGATGAGGAAATAACTTTGAAAGCTTTGATAGACTTTCAAATTTTGACACAATTGATTGACACCTTGAACTAGGGCATAGCCGTGATAAAACCTGAGCGACGGACACAAAGAATGCTTTCGAAATAAGAGCTTTTTCTGTGCAAAGTCAAAGGTAGGCCACTAATCTCTTTATCACTAGAGCAAAAAAAACTCTGTGCTCCTCCCCTTTTCAAAACTCCACGGCACCAAAGTTTTCTAGTCAGCTAATTTGAGAAGCGCCAAACAATAGATGTGGGGGCAAATCCGCAGGGAAAAACTGAATATCTTCAAATTTCCGGGTGTTTCTCAAGTTATTCAACTAACACCGTTAACTGCATAACTTGAGAAACTTTTTGCTCACAAGTCTAAATGCGTGCGGTTAGATTCAATGAACTTTCTATTCTACCACCTTTCCCAATGGTTAATCCAATAAGGTGACATTGAGAGCGCGTAGAGCAAATTTTGTTTGACCTGCAATGTAAGCACTGAAAAAACTAGTCTTTGTCTCGCTAGACCGTCTAAATTGAGAATTCCCCGCCGTTTCTATTTAAAAGCCATTTTAGATTGTGAATTGGATAGTTTTTATCTTTGGTAACAAATCTTAGTTATTTTTTTAATATTCAGTTGGATCATTTTATGTGACTTTATATAAAAACCTCTTCGGGCAATTGTCGAATGCTTGAGGTGTGCTTGGTGACAGCAGTTGTTCTCGGTGTTGATGTCCAGGGACCATCGATCGAGCGACGATTTGCAAATCTAGTTTAAAATTTAGTTGGTGCTATGAGAGCTGGTGTACCTTTCTGCTGGTAATTGTACTTCGATTGGTTCTTCTGAATAGCCCGGCTCGGAAATGAGCATCACTTCAACTGGAGACGAAGTTCCTTCTAAAAAGATTTGAGTCGGTGTAGGACAATAATAATTCTAATCTCAAGAAGATTAAATTCTTTTAAATGTCTTAGATTGCCAAAGTTCTAAATTCAAGAGTCAGTATTGACTTTCTCAAAGTCACTTGGTTCTGATCACCTGGGATCAAAACCAAAGGTCAATATGAGAGTTTCAGGTCAATAGCTTGCATCTACAAAAGGTGCCTCTACGTCACGAATAAAAAGTAAATGTTAAGTTATATATATAAATGACACATAAACTTTATTTAAACAAAAATCTACCAGCTGAACTAGTCGAAATGGTGGCTGAGAGCGGTTCAGGCTCGGAATGGTCGACGATTTTCATTTCGATTTCTTTCATGCGAGGCTCGTCGTCGATCGCCGTTTTTGATGTTCTCATCAGTGATTTATCCGCTCTCGGGATTCGGCTCTCACGGGTCGACAGCTCACCACCATTCGGCGATTTCTTTACGAGACCGCTGGCAATGACGAACGTATCATTCCTTGAAATTTTTGAATGAACTTTTTAGAAACGTTGTACTTTAGCTTTCAAATCAAGTGGAATTTGAGATTTAACTATCTAGAAAAAATATGGAAATTTTGTGCACAATAAAACACTACCTGATTTGACAAACATAAAAAGTTCAATGATACTAAATACCTTTCTGCACTGTTGCTTCGCTTAACCAATGATGGTCTCTTTTGAGTGGGTGATTGCCGGAGTGATGTTCTGCTTCCAGTGCCTCGTTCAAATGGTGAAGTCGCTTGATCGCTCATCGATCGAATGGGTCGATTATCTGGGTGAACTGTGACATGATGCCGATTCTAAAAGCATGAATATTGTTTATAAAATTTAATATCAAACTTTATTCTCCGCATCTTTAGATGGTGATCGTGCATGTGCTATTTGTTCCAATTCGAGTTGCCGATGCCTTTCCATCGCATTCACCTATAAATTTAGATTTCTATACAATCTCACCATTGGTTAGCTAGCCCGTACCTCTTTCAGTATTCTCGATCCGTCTTCACCAAGCAGCGCCTTTTCCTGATCGGGTTGACCTTCCATGACATGCTTGTAAATCTTTGCCTAGAAGACAATGATTATCAGAAAAGTCTAAAAACACTACCTTTTTTGTTAACTCGGCATCTCTTTTTGCTCTTTCAATGGAGTTTAGTACTTGTTGATAGATCCTTTCCCTCTTCAACTCCTCATCTTTTTCAGCCTCCAATTTCTTTTGTTCCTCGAGAAATTGCTGTTGTTCTTGGTGCTCGCGAATTTGCTAAAAATAAAATTCAGCAAATTTTCAAAGTGGTTGTTATACCCTAATTTTCTCCTCATCAACCCTCGCTTTTTCTTCAAGTTCCCTTTGTTGTCGTCGTTTCTCCTCAACTTGTGCTGTGATATAGGCGTCCGGTCTAAATTAGACTTTTAAAAAATGACCCAATAAAATTACCTAGAGGACTCTGATGAAGAAGCGGTGCCGTGTCGGAAATCCACAAACACCGGTTGAATCGGAGAAATTTGGCAGCTAGGAACTAAAACAAGTTGTTTTAGGCCAGAAATATCCAAGTTAACCTTTGTGATCTTCAGGCATGACAATCGGAGTTGGCAACGGATAGACGATTGCCGTAGCCGGAAGTTTTGGTTTGTTGATATCGCTTGCTTGGGAGCTCGATTCAGCTGTAGAGTGTTCCGTGGTTTGATTTGGTAACAAATTTAGATGAAATTGAGCCAAACCCGCTAGATACTAGATACTGTAGCCTTAAATACCTGCATCGACTGAACATACTTCCATTGTTCTGGTGTATAAAAAGGAGTTATCGGTGTTGCTGGCATCGTTCCCTCTTGTGTATTACACATCATCGTTGGTGGCTAAACGGAGATGATTATTAAATGCTTGCTAAAATTTACCGGAATCGGTATTGCCCCAGGTGGAATCATATGGTAAGGCATCGGAATTGGCGGGTAGGCAAGGTGTAATTGATGAGGGTTGGTAGAATACGCCTAAAATGAAAATATTCAGTAATCAATTGAGAATACCTAAATGATTAATTTTACCTGCCAATATTCCGGTGTCATTGGATAAACATACGGTGGCATTTGCATCGGGTAAGGTTGAGACATTGAAGCCGTTGCAGCAGTCGGAGCATGCGTTTCCTGAAAGCAAATTTATCGCATGTTTTAGATTTACTTAAATCACAACGTAATGTTTTTTCTAACCTTTTCCTTCATATTGCAGCTAATCGCTTCAAGTGTAGAGATTCCAGCAGCTGGGCAGCGGAGAGGCTAAAAACAAATGAGTTTCAGGCAAAAAAAAATGACGTCAGATAAATTTTGCAAAAGGTTCAGGTTTGGGTGTGCAAGTTGGTGTCTTTTCAGGTCATGTGCCGCAAAAAATCCCTCATAATCACTCGTAAAAAACGTGATGATAACAAGCTGGCACGGAAGGAATAAGAAAGGATGCGGCGTTTGAGAGAAGACATGAAATACTCGCTAGGAACTGAGTTGAACTCACAATCAGCTTTAAAAAATGGGGCAAATACTTGTTTTGAAAGTTACTGTTTGTGGAAGACTTAATCACATTTTTTTTAATCTTTCCTCCCTCAAGTTCACTCAGTCATATCTAGCTATGAAGTTTGAGAAACTTTCTTTCGAAAAAAAGGGCAAACATGGCCGTGAGAAGATAAAAAGCAAGTTCAATAAAAAGCTTTGAATCAGATCATTCCGGTCATTCAAGTGAAAACATGAAAAGTAGATGTTAAAAGGAAGAATCTAGCGAATTTGAAATTTGAAACCCGGTTCAGTTTATGAATTCAGTAAGAGTCATAAACTTCAGCAAAAAATTAATTGGAACGCAAGTTAATTACTAGGCTGATAAGAAAAAAGTAAAAACATTATTTCAAGGTAAAAAATTTTATGTTTGTTACAAGGAAGTCTCATCAGCTTCTTGCAATTCGAGTGAAAGAAGGAGGCTGTCAAAATTTACAAGTGGCTGTAATCTAGAAAACAACCCCCTCATCTTTCCCAGAAGTGGACTAATTTTATGGCGCTTTCTATTGTTGATTTCAAGAGTTTATAAGGAAGAATAATTTTTATATCAAGTCTAGTCACAAATCGTATTTTTGAAGTAAATATTTCAACTTTCTATAAATAAAATGAATTCTGAAGCAAAAGTAATAATTTGGAAACATATTGCTTCTGATAAGTGAAACCTGTATTATTCAATATAAAGCCTAAAAAGATGTGCGTCATTGATAAACGGAACGGATTGTATGATCACACTTGACAAAACTTTTGTGCTAAAACAGAAAGTTCAGGCGACAAAAATCCCCTCAACAAACAGGCAAACAATGATCGCGAGAGACGAACGCAAATGAATAAAATGGACACTGAACAGAGGAGACGGCATGAGAACTGGCTTTCAAGAAGCATATGATCGTTGCTGAATAAATGGAGACGAAGGAAAGAAAAGAAACGGGAAAAAGAAAATGATTGTCAAGGGAAAGTCCTGGAGAAAGGATATAACCCAAGGAATAGAGATAAACGGGAGATCGGAGCCAATAGATGCTAAATGCGGAATCGGGGCGGAATAAATCAAAACACTTCTAAATGCTTAAGGAATAGTGAAGGTTCGTAAAAATTTTTTTTGTATGGGTGAGTTTCCCCACTCGCTGGGAGAATAGATGCATGAAAGGAGCTATTGTTCTGGTAAAACCCCTTTTGGTTCTTTTCCTTCAAAAGAATCAAAGGAAAGACTTTAAATGCATTGTAAGAAACGGAAATTGAACAGGTTTGTTTTATTTTAACGTTTTCATAACTCTTGCTCACTTCGATCTTTTCTGCTACCTCTGTTGTAAATTTGCAAATCCCTACTTCACCTAATCCAGACTTTCACTCACATCTCATATGCACTGGGTGGGCGCATGAAGTGCGCATTTATTCTCTCTTTTCTAGCCTCCCGCTTAGTTACCCCGCTTTCCCGAGTGTGAAAGACCCAAATCGTGAAATGCAAATGGATTGGACCACTATGTGTGCTATCATTTGCACAGTCCATATTCAAAACCAACAGACACACAAAGTGCCGTGTATCGAATTTCATCAACAATATCCAGAAGCAATGTTTAAACAATTACAAATTCTGTTAGACGGAAAATAACATAAAAATTAGGGCGAGACTCTAGAATTTCCGAATTACAATTTCACCAGGGACTTTCAATTCAATGAAACTATCTATGCTTGCTCGAAAAGTCACACTAAAACAATGAGTGAGCGCCCCATTTTCCGCCAAATCCCTAAATAACAATGAACTAGTTTTGGCTCCTCAAAATATTTTGAAAACTTTGAAAGTTCGGTAATGATTGCAACAAAGCTAAATAAAGAAACAAATCTAGTGATTTGTAAAGCAAATCTACCATTGAGTCAACTACAAATTTGGAATGTTAAAACTAACAGCTGCGCACACAGCTGCGACTGTCTGAATAAAAGCGATGAAGAAAAAATGAGCAAAATTTTCGAGCTAAAATTAAGGGTCATCGGGTCAGTGGAGAGATGAATAGTCTAACCGCTAATAGGCGCCCGGAAATCAATTTGCTCAATAGAGCAATTGTCAGCCGCTTTGAAGTTGGTTTGTTTTTACGACAGCAAAACAGATTAACATTTAGAATAAATAAATAGCTTATTCACACTGGTTTGTTTTTCTTTCCCATGGATGTCACCTTTTTTCTTTTAAAAAATCAAGGTCTTTTGAAAAGAGAAATTCGTCTCTATCTCGTCGGATTTTAAATTTGAATGAGTAAAATATTTCTATGAGACACATCAATGGAAATCCGTTCGCTGAACGCGGAGAGCTCTCGTGAGCTGCATCGTACAGAGCTCGACTGTAATCTTGACTTTCGAAAATGTCTCACCCAGGATACCCACTGTGCAGTAGTAAATGTTTTGAACGGGTGAATTTCAATACGAGCAGATTACATGAAAAGAGGGAAACAATCGAATCGAACCAAACAGGTCCCCATAGTATTCATTTCATTCCCCTTTTCCCAGTCCCTTTCACCCCCACAACCACGATGAGTCGTCTTTTTGGGGCAAAAGACGTGCGATCAAGGCAAACGAGACAGCAGCAATACATGGAGGGACAGAGAAAAGTCATTTCGAAGATGCAAATGCGGCTCATCGGCCCTCTTTCACCCTCTCTCGCCTAGTTGTATACTGACAACCTTTAGCATTTGACTGTGAGCCTAAACACTGTATGACCATTTGATAGGGAAAAGTTTGGCCTTGAGATGAGAACAAATTCTGAGGGAAATTTTAGCAAGTTTTTTCAGAAACCAAAAATGGAGCCAGCCGAGCTTTAAATTTCAAAATTCTCAAAAAAGGAAAGTTTGATAGTGGCTGTACAAAGGATAGGGAAAAGAAGAAGGAACCCTTCTGTACTTTCGGTTGACTGAATATCAATAGAATGAGAGATCGGAGAGATGGGTGGAACACTATTCATGCTCAAAGTTTGAGAAAGCAAGAGATGAATGAAAAGAACCAACTCATGGGTTTAGTGGAGTTTTTACCTACCACGGGAGTTGGACTCAGTTCTCGAACTCTGCCAGTTGATTGCATCTTGTTGTCGGCTAAAATAACTGAATTGTATCAAAATTATACACGGAAAATGCTGTAAAAAAGAACAGACAATATTTGTGCGCCCGCTTGATTACATTATGTCAATCTATTGAAAAGTGAAGAATAAGAACTCACAATAATCGCGAGCCTCATGTTTTCTCACGGGGTTGCCTCCCCCTGGGCTGTTGTTCGCTCCAAAAGGGAACCAGTCTTTCTCGCGTTCCTTCTCTTCTAAAAAGATAATTAATTCGTGCCATTGGATCCTTTTTATTAGGTCTATGTCATTCTAAAAATGAAAACCTATGGCAAATCACACTTGATAACACCAATAGATAAACCGTCGTCGCTTATTGACGGCGGTGGCGCCAGGACCTCATGAAAAAGACATGTAAAGATCTTAAAAGTGAAAGGAAACTTTCTTTCTTTCAACGAACGCTTTACGATCTTTTCTTGGGAAGCTGTGGTTAAAAAGGGGCAAACTTTGTTTTTCCAGAAGAGTCAAAAAAAATAACTGGAAATGCAATTCAATGTTTGACCTAAGCTTATTGAAAAGCATCAAACTTTGAGATAAGAGAATGTCTTTTCGAATTACAAAGTTCACCCAAAACACCACAAACCTTTTTCCTGAGCCCATTGTCTCTGCTTTTTGCGTATAAGCGACCCTTCTCGAGAGAACATTTCAACTCGATTTTATCGCATCTAAAAAATGGATTTGATATGAAAGAGGAAAATTATAGTAAAGTGAAGATAGATCAATATACGGGCCAGGATGAAGAAAAGGGAGATAATAATGAGATGATCTCTGGAGATAATACTCAGCAAAGACTATAGGTGCGGGACCATTGAAGAGGGATAAAAAGGTGTTTGCAAATTTTTTGATGATTATTTTCAAGCAACTTTCTTAGACTGCATGGAAAAAGTTGTTTCCAATGGAAATAAAACCATCGTTTTTGCCATCCGTGAAGATCGAATGCTCACAAAAAGTCATGAAAATTTCACCCTAGCTCTTCACCAGCTGTGTATGTGATTCTCTTCACAATGATGCGCTCGGTATGGTCTGGGGAAATTGCGTGATTCACACTCAGCTATAAAAAGAAAGATTGAAGAAAACGATCGGCAAAAGATGAGCATAACAATGAAAAATGTCAGGGACTTGCACAAAAAGTGTTGCCAATTGCAATTTTTAATCAACAGGGTTCTACAACAGAGAAAATGGTTTTGTTTATGGGGAGAAAATCGTAAAAGTTCTTCTGATAAAAACGAGTAAAAATTTTGCTTAAAGGCTTCTAGCAACTTTTTCGGTGTTTGGGGTGAAAAAATTCCGACTCTTCGATCGTTTCTTGGCTGCCAGGCGTAAACAGTTGTTATCTCTTGGCAATATTTTTTTGTGGGCATGATCGGTGTGCAAAAAAATGACGCTTGACTCTTCACAGAAAAATTTAAAACAATGAAAAAGAAAAGGATCATCGAGGAATTTGGATTTAATTTCTAGGCTTAATCTTCGTCAAAAGATATTCAGCTAAATTACAGAAAGGAGGGGAATGGGACAAATGCTACCTTTTTTCGACACTCGGGACATTTGTGCACCTTTTCTCCCATTATAACAAAGGCTGCCTTAAAACCGCACGTCATTAGGAATCTAACTATTCAAAAAGTGAACAAGTGAGGCTAAAAACGATTTTGTGAGTCTAGGGACAGTCCTTGTTATAATGAGCGAAAAGGTGCGCAAAAAAGGTAGTATTTGTCCCACTCCCGAAACAAGTTAAGATATTGATTTCCTGGGGTGGATGGAGCATTTGGGATAGGTACAAGCGACAAAAACACAGATGTTCGAATGGTAGAGGGGTGCTTTGGAAAGAGAAGCAGAGAAATGGGTGTGAGCGGGCGGGGAGAAAACGACGCGCACCCCCTTCCTTTTGCCTCTTTTGCCTCTTTTGGAGATGATTCGACCTTTTTGTGCTCGGGTCTCATTGTTTGTGAGTTGGGTGTCTTATTGTTATGGTTTTGTTCATTTGTAAAGCTTGCAATTGATCAACTCCAAGAGCCATTAGTATTCCAAGCAGAGATTTGATGAATTCATTAGGTTTCTTGCATTTTTTTTTAAGAAAGCTTTGCCTTTGTTGAGTCGTCAATGAAATTATGTACATGTTAGCCAAATTCTCATCATTGATTCGATTCACATGCCTTTTTCTATGCCAACCCATTCAAGATTCACGAGAGTTCATTTGAGATCTATCTTTCAAACGTTTACCCTCCCCTTTCAACACTAGGCGCCAAAAGACAGGCTCAAAAGGCCGCGATTCAAAATTTGCTTTACTTTGTTTTTCGTTTTCGTTTAGTCCAGGATTCTGAGTTGATAATAACTTTATTTTTTTCAGATTCGATCTCATGGACAACTTCTTGAAATCGCTCGACCATTTAACGGAAACGGTTGGTTTTGCCGTTGTTTTGCTCAATTTCTCTTTTTTCAGGTTAGTGCTAGTGCATGTCGCCCGCATGAGCTCCGTCATCTCGCGAAAAACAATGGTCAGCCAATATATTTCATTTTTTATATATTTTAGTTTAGATACTTCACTGAACCGAGAAGCCGCCGAGGATATTTCAAAGAGGCATTTGAAGGCTTTTCTCGAACGGGTTGATGAAGAAGTGCGTGAACTTTGTCGCCATCAGGAGGTGGGTTTTTTATGTTTTACCAAAAGGACCCTGATTTTAAATAATTTATGGGTGATGGGTGCTTTGCAGTTTACAACACTTAAACTAACAAAATTCCTTACTTTTGAATTATTAAATTAACTTTAATGTTGACACAGTAGTTAATTTACTACTAGCGCAGCTAAATTTCTGTTAAGTTTTTGCTAACGTAGGCGCAGGACACCTATCTATCTGTAAAGTACAGTAGCGGTCAAAAGTTTGGACCCACCCCCTTGCGCGCGCTAAAGACTACTCAATAACCAAATCAGCCTGAGGTTTTCCCCCACATTAAACCGTGTTAACTAGCATTTTTTATCTAGTTTTTATGACGGTAACCATTAAGAACTTGTTTTTCTCTTTGTTCTCTGTTGACTGCTTTTTAGGTGGTCAAAAGTTTGGACCCACTTTGAATAACAATTTGATTTTGCCAAAAAGCAACAGAAACAGTTTCACCAATCAATATTTTGTTGCATATCCTTTCGCAGCAATGACGGCAGCACACCTCTGAGGCATCGATTCGACCAAAATTTTGAGTTTTTGCTTCGGAATCTTGGCCCACTTAGTTTGCAATGCTTGCATTAGTTCTACCGTCTTTGAGTACTTCTTTGAACGGATTCGTCTATCCAATTCCTCGCAGAGATACTCAATGGGGTTAAGATCTAGGCTCTGTGCCGGCCATTGCAAAAGCTCGATGTTTTCCTGTCGAAGCCAATTCTTTACGAATCTTGATGAGTGTTTTGGAACGTTGTCATGCACAAACACCCGGTCCGGATCCATTTCCTTTCAGCATGGGGCAGCATATTATTCTTTAAAAGATCCAAGTACACTTGAGCATTCATTATTCCGTTGATTTGAGTCAGTGAGCCCACTCCGTCGGCCGAAAAACATCCTAGATATGCACGTGTTATAAGGCTCAAACAGTTCACTTACCCTATACAATCACTGAGCCCCCTCCATGCTTGACAGTTGGCGCCTGATGCTTCGCATCGTTTCTATGGTTGATTGGACGACGAATATAAAGAATTCCGTCACTTGCCATCAGGTTATACTTGTTCTCGCGGCTCCACAACACTTTCGATCAATCGTCATTGGACCAATTGAGGTGCTGCTTGGCAAACTTAAGACGTGCTTGAACGTTCTTTCGCGAAATGAAGGTTTCTTTGACGGTCGTGCGCCTTTTAGTCCGGCATTGCTAAAAAACTCCTTAAATTATAGTTACAATTTAGATTCGTTAGACCTTACCGCAGAATTCGTTGAGCAGTCCTGTGAGAGACATCAAAGCCAAAGCTCTCTGAAGCTTTTTGACATCAGAGGGTGTCTTCTTTGGATCCTTCTTAATTTCACAAACCAGGGCCATTGCTCTGCGTGGCTCCACTTTTACCGGTCTTCCCGTAACACTTTTCCGCTTGACAGATCCCGTTTTTGTCCACTTCCGATAGGTTTTCCTTGCAGCAGAATCGGTGTTGCCAAAGACTCCCGCAGCCTTTCTGAAACTCATCTCAACTGTCATTTGTGCCACCAAAGCTTCCTTCAAATCTTCTGACAAGTTTTTGCGAGTTAGCATTTGAAAAACAGTATTATTTCAAAGTGGGTTCAATTTTTGACCACCTGGAAAAAGCAGTCAACAGAGCTCTTAATGGTTACAGTCATAAAAACTGTTAAGCAATATAAAAACTAGATAAAAAATGCTAGTTAACACGGTTTCATGTGGAGGAAAACCTCAAGCTGATGTGGTTATTGAGCCGTCGTTAGCGCGCGCAAGGGGGTGGTTCCAAACTTTTGCCCGCTACTGTACCTACCAGACTTCAAATTAATTCATTGCACTTAAAACTATTGGTTTTAGTTGGAAAAGCGATTTGACGACTTGGAACGTCTGGATGAGAAATGTGCAGCCAAATACGGAAGAGATTCCAAAGGATATCGCCCAGTTGGGGTAAGTTTTTTTCTTTTTTTGCATTTTTTTTTTGTTTCTCTAGGATCCCAATGTCGACACGGACGGCTTATTAAGCAAGACCAAGATTGAGTACAAGAAGAACCTGGAGAAGTATATTGTGGAACTTGATGAACAAATTCAGGTAAAACTTTTCTTTATGAAACCTCTTATTAAAATTATAAAATTTTTAGGATAACTCTCAAGTGCTTGATAATAATTCGATGGTGATGAAGAAACTTTACGAGGCTGTGCGGGAACATTATTCAACGTAAGGAACTTTCTAACACAAAAGCACTATAAATGTTACGTGTTTTCAATGTAATTTTTAGGAATGATTCTCTGATGAGCACTAAGCTAGACGCCGAATAAGCAATCTAACACTTTTTAAACTGGCTTAACATTCGTTTTTTTCAGTTAAATGCTTGTACCTAAAGGTTTTGACATTATTTATGGGTGAATTCACGATGAGAACTAACAGTTCTTTAATAAATATTATTGCAGACTATATTACACGATTTTTTTGTTGAATACGAGTCGGGCCTCCTAGGATCCTCGATAAAGGGTAGCACAGAAAGCCCATTAGAGGAAAGCACGCGAAAAAGTTGCGGGATCAATGTGTCCTTATGGTGGATTGCCAGAGCATCTGTCTCTCAATCCAAGGAGGCGGGGTTCGACAGCGCCTGCAAGCAATGTTTTTGGCGAACACCTTGGTCCTTAGTTCCCAACTTACGAGTAGTTCTTGTCTTTGTTCAGAAGCATTGCACCGAGAAATTTTTTTAGACATGTGTAAAAAAATCGATTCCTGGGAGCTTGCTCCTTTCCCAAAATGTTTTTTCTGGTTACGGTCCTTGTAGATACTATTGAAAAACAACCAAATAAGTTGTTGATCGTAATTTATTAGGTTGAGCAAGAAAGTCTTTTTCGCTCCACTGAAATTTTTCAACCAAAGCAGCTGCCAAGCTTTTGTATGGTTAAAATTAATGATCAATAACTTAAACTAAAAACAGCGGCCCAACTTTTTATTTTGGCAAGTTTTGATGGAAGAAATGATTGAGCTTGAGTAATGAGCCAAATTTGATGTCCTCCGCGTTCACGTTCTTTTTGATTCAGAATTTATCAAAGTCTGTCAAGACTTCAAGTGTATTTTGCAAAAATTTCAAGTCTAAAGGCCTCTTATTTCTTTCGGAATCAGTTTTTGATTGAAAATACTCACAAAAATTGACTTGCCTTGAAATAAATTTTTCTACTCCAGATAACTTGGATTCAAAAGTTGATTATTACATAAAATTTTATTAAAAAAGATCAGAAAGAGCCTCTTGATATCTGGTGGCTCAGTTTCGAGATTATGAAAAATCGCAAAAGACTTGCTTGCCAACCTAATAGTTCAATGGGGAAAAGGAGTCGGATCGAGAGCTCACTAGGGAAAAGCATCAGGCAAATTTTGCCAGCGCTACATATGCCCCATATTATACAAATTACCACCATAAAATTCGCGAATTTGCCCTTTATTCTCGCAACCTTTATATTAGATTACAAAAGTGACTTAAAATACCCAGCGAAATAGATCTTTTCCCTTTGAGCGGACTTCCATCAATTCGCCACAGTTGCAAATCCACGACTGGATGACTCCTTTGGTGACGAAATAATCGATTGCCGTCGATTCCTTAAACGCACAAATGTCGGAGAAGCGCATCGTCGTTAAAGTTTAAAAACGTTGCAGTTAAAATAACACCCTCACTGGAAATAGTAATTTTGGGGGAGGGCAAAAATGTTGTCCCCCTGATTTTCATTTCACTCCCCCGATAATCGAACCGCTCCCCCGATATTGGAAAAGTACCGTTAAATGTTCTATGAGAACTAGAATTTCTTTAATAAATATTGTTTTACACGAGTTTTTGTTGAGTACGAGAGTAATTCGGGGGTGGGACAAATGCGACCTTTTTTGCGCACCTGGACATTTGGAAACCTTTTTTTGCTGAAAAGGCTTTAGGGCAAGGCCGAAGAGCTTCGAAAATATTTCCCATATAAGGAAATCGTATGGCGTAGATTCCTGGAATTTCGACAAATCAGACGAGGCCTCGTTGATACGTCAAATTTTAAAGGCTAAGCAAAAACTGCGGAAGCGTTAAGTGGTGCGTTTTTGCCTTTTACTCCAAATTTGACGTGTCATAGCGAAGTCTTGATTTGTCAAAAATTCGAACTGAATCTACGCATACGGATTCCCTTCTATGAAAACTTTTAATTATTAAATCCTTAACGGCCCTTTCCCAGCAAGCAGAAGAAGGGCAAATGCCAAGGTGCGCAAAAAAAGGTCGGCATTTGCGTCCCACCCCGTAGTAAATCTTTGTTTTTGTTCGAAATCTCCCTCATAGGCGATTGGCCTTTGAAGATTGAAGCGTTTTTGTTTCCTTTTAGTTCCAAAAGACGATCGCCTATTGCGCTCTTTTATACATGTTGTCACATTTTTCTCTCTAAATGTATTGTGCCCGGTTCTTTGAAAGTCACCAATTTTGGTATTGTATTGTGTAATTCAATATGTATTAGTCATGAGAGTTTTTATTAGAGCTCGAAAGAGCTGTTTATTAGCTATTAACTCCTTTAACAAATCATGTTTTCTAAAACTTTTTGTAAATAAAGGATAGTACTTGTAATGCTCTATCTTTTAGTCAAAAAGATTTTTTGAAAATGTGGTGTTAAAGCCTAGTTTCTCCCTTGCACTCCTATTTATGTTCACACTGAAAAACCGAGGTCTAATGTTTATATAACTTGACAGATAGTATTGCGCTTGAATCATGAGGGAAATTTCTTTCTTTTCTGTCTACTTTTCTTAAACCTTTTTATGCATCAGTTTTTTGTTTCACTTTCTTTTTCGGTTAATACTTTTTTTTGATTTACTTCATTTAGACACCCCTTGAGGTGGGCGTTACATGACGAGCACCTCAAAACGAGATGAGAGACGCATCTTTGAACACTTCTGTTATCGCTGGGCTAAAGGTTTGTATTTTTGAGTACATGAACTTCGAAAATGTCTCCTGCCCTCTTAAAATGTTTCAAAGTTAAAGCTTTATATTTTAGGGAGATGCTGAACACATTAGCCCGACGGCGCAAGAATGTGGTCGTCGTAATGCAGAACAATTGGCACCAATCACCGATATTTGTGTCATCTTTCCAACACTCGGGGAAACGGTATGGAAAACGTTAATTAAATTAGAGTTTGATTCTGCTTTTAGGTCCCAGAAGGATTTGAGATAATTGAAACGACACCGTTGGCATATCCAGCTGACTTGAATCATGGTTCTTTTTCGAGCGACATCGTGTTTCATATGCTTCCGCCGAGGATACCACAAGCCACCACTTTATTGACATTGGAGTACTTGATCAAGGTAAACATTTTGTAACGGTTTGATGGCGTAAATGGATATACATTCATTTGACAATAATAGTTTTAAGTAGAAGCTATTTATGGTTTAATTAATTTAGGGAAAGGTGAAAAGCCAATGGTTGATTCGGCTACGGGTTCCTACAACACCCTTTGGAAGATCTGCAAACGTTAACAACTCAGCAAATGTATATTCTCGTTAGTTTAGTGTTTAAATGTCTGTTTTAGGGTGTTTTCCTGACATATCGCCGTGCTTCACCAAACAGTGCTCCAAGTCAACTGGTCGTCACACATATTTGTATCATTATTGCTAGAAAGGGGAGAGATTCCGCCACATACCTACTACAAAATACCAAAGAATTTAAACAAGGTATACTTTGCCATATTTCAAGGTTTTGTATGAAAGTTTTTGTTTTAGGGAATCATTGGTTCTGAAATCTACATCTGCTACAAGAAGTCTCTTGGAACGGCAAAGCGACTTGCATACAAACCAGCTATTCTTGATTACTTTCCCAAGAATGACGGCGGTAAGTAAAGCTTTTAAAAAAATGGATCTTTTTGTGTTTAGAAAACCTGGAAGATCTTAAGCTGTTGTCAAATGTTCCTCTATTTTGTTTGCCGATGGGTGCTTTAATAGAATGCTGGCCAAGTTTGTTTAAAACATATAAAAGTATAAATTATGTTTTAGACAAATGTCAAACACCTGAACGATTATACTCTACCTTGTACTGACTGATGAGGTAGAACATTAAACATTTTATTTTTATAAATCCTTTTTAGTATAACCGAAAATATTATGGTGCTTCCGTGACTTTTTATGAGCGCTACACGGGCGAATTAACGGAAGAACAATTGGACAAATTGGGGGTAAGCTTTCTTAGTGAATCTTGGGAAGTTTAAACCAATTCAGGTGGAAGTACCCGACAATGAGAAAGTAGTTGGAGCTGTAGATGACACTGCATCAACAAATGATCCGGCTGAACAGGTACTCAAAGCAAAACTTCGGGTTATAAAATGTTTAGTTGTCATTTCACACAAACATCTCAATATGCATTGTGTCTCGGTATCCATTCTTCTATCCATTCAAAAGGTTTGCCTCTCTAATTAAGATATTTTCAACGTTGTTATAGGTTTTTGTTCTACATTCATCGAATGTCTTTATCGGCTTCGACAATTCACGCGGTTCCTATTGAGCGGTTATATTTCACATCTTGTTTGTTTCCATCTGTGATTTACTTGATTATCAAATTTAGATGTATGAAGTGTCGTTTCCCTCTTTGCGGAGACCTCGTGTTTTGATGCAATTGGGCGCTGAAATGGTTACTTTTTGAAGCACAAGATGAACAACAACTACCACAATATGGAGCTGCTCTGTTTGAAGCGTTAAAGGTGTGTTGTACAAAGAGTTCCTAATATAATTTTTTTTAGAGTCTCGGTGCTGATAACATGATGTATCTACTGTACTGGCTTTGCTGGAGCAAAAGATACTGATTCATTCATTGAGGTATCAAAATGTCATCAAAGTCTTTAATTCGTTCTTAGGCCATGGTTGCTGACTGCCGTTGCGGAGAGTGTTTGTACATTGATGTTTCCATTTCATTGGCAATGGTAATATTTAAATTAATATGTATAGATTTTATGAATTTAGCCCCTATGTTCCCACAATGTCCACCAAGTCTTGCCGGAGTTCTCCACGCGCCTCTTCCATTCATTGAGGAGTCGATTCTAGGTTTGTGCATCATAACGATTAAAATGGGACCAATTGAGATATTTTGACCTGTATGAAGATCCGCCCCATGATGTTACTTGTTTTGACTTGGATACTCAGACGATCAGTGGAAGCACGGTACATTAGGAAATTTTTAAAATTTACTTTTAGAAGTTTTAGGCTCGCCATGAAATCAAAACCAACATTCTCCCAAAGAAACCGATGAAACGATTACGAGCAGCCCTGGAGGCGTTGAATAAACAGTTTAGTGAATTAAGCGCTTGTTTATACCGAATTATTTAGAATTCAAACACAAGACTTTGCTGTGGGTCAGATGCAGACAAAAGCTGACTATGTGGAGACCCGATCTGGAACAACAAGTACAACTTAAGAAGAAAATGATCGAGATTGGGATTCAAGAGGCTTTTTGAAGTGAATTTTATCAAATATTTCAATTTTACTAGTGTTGATTTAGATTTATGGCTTCTATTATGCGTGGTTATCAAGCTTTTCTGCGACCAATCGTCTCGGCTCCAAAATGTAAATCGGCAACTGATACGGGAAATTTGTTCGATATTGATGGCTTTCTGAGAACAAGAGATAAAGAAAAGCAGGAATTTTACAGAAGGTACTTGAAGGATAATACAGCTAATTGAATATCCCAATTGTTTTAGATTTTGTTCTACTCAATCGTTTATTCGATTCATCGGAAGAGCGATCATTTGTTTCGGACAAGTCAGCTTACAATGCCTTCTTTGATGATTGTGTTGAAAGACGATTTTTGCAGGTTTGGTTTGAACGAAGTAATCCTTACTATTAGCGCTTCTTTAGAAGAAACGGGTACTGACATCGGGCAACTATTGGAAATCGACACTTCCCCTATCATCAAACACCGTGTTTATTCCCCCACTGGAGCCGCTCATCAACGTAGAATCAGGCACAGAACGAGGATTCCGATAGTAGTTTTGTCCACAATTAATTAAATGAACTTTCTTAAGTAATGGATTCCCACGAACTTTGGACTTCAACCATTTCCAAATGAACAAGTTAAACATCGAGCAAACGAATGACTCAAAACAGCAAATACCGATGGTTGAGAAGGAGATTGGAAGGTACGGATGATGAAGCAATGTGCCTACATAAAATGTTTAGGTGTGCCGCTGTTCGAACAAAACACGAAACACGATCGTCACTTATGATGGCAGCCAACGGAGTGAGAACGCAAAAGAGTAATTCAACAATGAAAAGATAAAATATTTCTTGTTTTAGTTATCTTGGCCCAAGACATTGCTGTTCTACGCTTACTCTCTGTGGTTCAATGCAATTGCCATCCATGCTTGCCATTTCAAAGAACAAACGGAAGACTCTACGTTTGGCTTTTCATGTAAAAATATAGTTAGTTAACCAAAACATTTGTTTTTTAGGGTTTTATCTCGGCTAGAAGCAACAGAAGTGATTCCATTGGATCAAGTATGTTACCGAATTCTGATCGAAATGTGCGGACAATATGGCGAACCACATCTTGCTGTGCGAGTATTATATGTAAGTTTCTTTTCGCACAAATTTGAAAATATTCACTTTAGGCAATGCGCCGATCTGGACTTGAGCAGAATGCTGTCACTTATGGTTTATACCATCGAGCTGTGATGAATGTTGAATGGCCATCACCTAGCCGTGTACGAGCTGAACAGACTGGCATCGCCTGAGGTAGGAATGTTTGCGGGGAGTAAACCTTTTAAATTCTAGGCTTCAATTGCTGGGAACGACTTATTTCCGACACGGTAGAAAGTTTACGGGCACTAGTTCTCTTACTCCAGGAATCGATGCAGTATCGGTTCGTTTATAAATTTACCAACTGCTGCTTGCAATTTTAGTTTTATGTCTATTTGGCTTTGCTTAACCCCCTTGTGCATTTAGGTACCAGATCCTGGTTATCATAGTGAAGCTGTGGCCACTCCATCTTCACATCCGCAGATTCGGAGTTCAAATTGGAGGAGAGGAGGTAAAAGTTTTTTACAAGAAATGTGGATAAGTTTTTGCTGATTAGGATTTCGAAGATGAGGACACTTCACAAGCGGCTCCATTCACGATCACATACACGCCATTGGACAGTCAATCAATTTGTTCCAGCGAACCTCATCCACTTGATAATCTTCACTCTTGTAGCACTGCTTCCCTGATCGAAAAGTTGTTTTTATGTTTTCTTTGTAATGTCTTGCTTTAGTTCACTCCTGAGCCAACAACCACTGACCCCTTGGTGCTTTCATGTTGAAAGAGCTGATCATGACTGACGAAGAAAAGTCATATCCAAATTCATTTGTATCACGTTTTTCAGAGATCAGCTCCGCCTGAAATTCACATGTCTCCTGCTCGGGCGAAGTTCTTGGCTGATCATAGAGAAGATTCCCTATTCAAGGAAGAAATCGAAAGCAAACCAGAAAAAGTAAAAAAAAAGCAGCAATTTATTTACTGATTCGTATTGAGGAAAAGAAAAGCAGTGGATGGTGGAAAGGAATGGCGAACAGCCCTTTGATGAAGATGATCAAGAGCCAAACAACAGGTAACTTTTATTTATGAAAACTTTATACACAATTGCACCCCACAAACAAACACTATGATTTAATTATTTGAAATTATATAGACCATCTTGACAAACGCTCTTCCGCTTCTGATGGCTCGGGTGGCTCAGAAAGTGGGGCGGCGGGTACGCTTGGTGGTTTTGTGGCCAGCCCGTCGCTTCATAACATTGTCTCTCAAGTAAAAAGAGGCTATGACGAAGTTGTTAGGGAAGGAGGTAAACAAGACATGCATCGTTTTTTAAAAGTAATACTAATTATGTGATAATCATAAGCAAAAAGTCTCTATAGCATTGAACGATTACTAAATTATGTAGGGTCATCTGGATTCGGAGCAGGTAAGAAACGTATTTTTACTGGCTACTCTGTTCTCAATGCTTGATCTAAAATGAAATTTCAACAAAGTGTTGTCTTCGTACTTTTATTGCTTGAACATTTGAACTTGAAGCTTGAAGCTTGACAGCTATCTGCTAAACTTCTTCATTCGACAAGTTTAGGCGTTTCTTCGAAACTGCGCCTTGGAATGTCTTCAATCTACCAGGAAGTCAAGGGAATTCAAAGATCGACTGGCCTGCTTGGCAGTGGACAAATCTTTGGCGGAGAAGCGGTGGCTAATTATTTGATTTTTTTTACGTGAGCTAATTTTAGGACGATCCACAGACTGTACAAATCAATCAAGAGAATTCCGTCTTTCAATTGGACTCCGGCTCGGCAGATACGCTGCTCCATGAAAAGTTTTGGACTGATGGATTGTTTGAGAAGGATGAAGAGGTAGCATGTTTCAATATTTATATAAACTGATCGGCTTTTTTAGACTCCATCTACTTCAAAAATCCTCGATGTGACGATGTGTGTTGCAACGCCATGTCCTCATTGCCACCTGATGATCTACGATGAGGATATTATGGCTGGATGGAAGGTATTATTTTGAGCATCAGTAGACGCTTTTCTTAATCATTCTAGGAAATCTTTCAAAAGAGACCCGTGGTTATTGAGGTACTTTAAAAATTTACTCCTATGTGTTCTTGGGTCTTTCAATTAAATGATGAAATTCATGGACTGCCATGAACTTATTTATTTAATTTTGGTGGCGGTCTAATGTCTTTTTGCTTGGGTTGGGACTTTTTTAGTCACTTGAAAATAATAGAATTTGTTTAGGTCGAAGATCAAAATATGAATACCGAGTGTCCATACTGTCAAATTGTGTCGACGGGTACGAAAGAACAGCCAGGTTTAATCACCTTCCGACTTGTTTTTACCCCTTTTTTTCTAGGTTGCTTTGCGCCGATGTTGCACATCAATTTCCAATGGAAGAACAATTGTCGAGTGAGTTGGTATCAGCCACATTTGAAAGGCTCTGCGGACACAAACGAAGCATCCAACGACCAAGAGGTTCCAAAAGTGCATTTATTTGGATAATTTTTTATTCAGTTACCCCCGGCACTCACTGTGGCATTCATTTCACCAATTGTCCTTCGACGAGAACTTGAAACTTTGGTTGCACAGGACATGCTCTCATTCAAGGTACTATTATTTTTTCCTAATAATTTGAAAACATTTTAGAATAAGTCCCTCATGGAAAGCCATCCGATAGTATTTTGGAACTTGGTCTACTTTTTGGTATGTCTGTGTCTCTGTTGTGTCTTTGTAGCATAACCTTTCTGTTTTTTTTTCTTAATTTGTGATGTTATTGTTTGTGATTGTTGTTACGTCGTTATAGATAGGTGTATATTTTTTACTGACCTATAAAATTTAGCGTCGACTCGCTTTGCCATCTCATCTTTTTTCGTGGATTGGCTCCAATGTGCACATCAGATGCGTTTACGATCGACCGACTTTTCATCCCAGTGCGCCGCCACTTTACATCAGCAATCAAGCATATTCGGTGAGTTTATGGTAGAAGATTTCTAAATTGTTCTAATTTAGAATTTGACATTGCTAAATTCGCATACATCAAGGGAGTCTTCTCGAAAACAAGTGACAACATCTGTTGGTGAAAGCAATATGTTTAAGGTAAGAGGCATAATAACAATTGTTCATAGTTTGATTTATTTAGGCTATCCAAGCTCTTGTGAATGAAAGTCGAACGGTTGATGATGGAAATGTGGTTTTGAGTGCCCATTTCCCTATATTCAGGTAAAAAGGTTCATCTTTATTCTAACTTTCTTTGCTTTCAGGGATATCCAATTCGCCTCAATCGACGAGTACGGCCGGGCGCTTAATCGATGCAATTTGGATGACGCATATCAAACGGAGTTTGATCGACTTCCACCGAGGTGCGTAAACTTGCATAGAAACAATAATCCTTTGCGTTTTTAGGATCAAACCACTTCTCCCTATCCAGGACAACCCGTCACCACTTTTGAACAGGGCCTGCAAGATGATATTTGTGCCATTGGATCTCTTCTGAAATTATGATTTTTTTTTAAACTACTAGCAATTTCTAATTTGTATGTGATATTCGTTTTTTGAGTTTTCTTTTGCTTCCGCTCAGCACTAGTTTAATTAATTTTGAGAATTGCGATGTGTCAGTTTCTTTCCCCACAAAAGCTGTGAATGATCTAGAAATGAGTTGTGATTTCGCTTAAATTTTTTTCCTTCTTGCGTTTGAATCAATTGCCTCATCTTCTAATTTAGTAAGCGAATAAAGAATTTATTATTGTTTTGAGTAGATTTGCATTTGAAACTTATGACGAAATATTTATATCAAGGACAAAGTGAATAATTTAGTAATCGATAATTGACAAAAAAGTTCAAAGGTGAGATCAGCAAAAGCTTTCATTTTATTCGGGTCTTAGTGTTGATCATTAGACGTATCTCCATCGTCATCATTGCAAATATCCTCAGCCATTTGCCAGATCTAGGTAAAATCAGATTAAATATATTGAAATTGGTAGTTACCTGCATGATGTTGTCTTCGCTGACCGAGCAGACAACCCACGGCTCATTTGGATTCCACGAGAAGTCGGAGATCTTTCTGCCGTGTGCCCTCCGTGAAGCAACAGCAGTTCTAGAAGTTTATCCTGAAAATCAATTCTTCTCATTTCCTTTATTCCTTTATAATTAATCAACGCAAGAGATTAGCCAACTACCTAGATATCAGTGCATTCTTTTTTTTTTACCTCGGCATCCTCAGGGCTTTGGTCCTCGCCAATCTTGCTCAAATCCCACACATGTAGGCGACGATCCGTGCCCGATGAGGCCAAGATTGTCTCGTTATGGGGAGACCATTGTACCTAAAAAATAGTGCTATTAATAAGTAAGTTTCCATTTCATTTACCTGGAAGATCTCATCCTTGTGCGACTCGAACGAATGAAGCTTCAATTTGAGGTTACGGAGATCCCAAAGTGCAACAGTCTGTAAATGAAAATGCTTTTCTCACAAGCAATTAACTATAGCATCAAATTTAAGCATTTAACTCTACCTTATCAGCAGATCCAGTAGCTAAGATGAACTCCGAGTATGGATTAAAGGAGAGGTAGTCTACTCCCCCGGCTGTGTTTGTGTCAACTGTATGTGCTGGCGTCTTGGTGTTGTTTGAGCTAAAAAAAGTCTTTTTTGAGCATCATACAATTAGTTTTGTTTGAGCTTTGGTGAACGAATCGATCAAATTACTCACCGAGTATCCCAGATCATCAACTTCTTGTCATCACCGACCGATCCGAACACCGAGTCGTGCAACACGTGCCAGGCGACATCTTCAACCACCTGGAATAGGAATCGATGCCAATTATCGAGAGATAATCAAAACAGCACCAAATTCAAAAAAAGTGGTCTTTTTGTCGAATTGGAATTGTTTTTTTTTGTTTTAACTGTTTGTACTGAATTATTTCTATAGGAACCTTCGTCAACCATTGTGACGACCTCTCTAATATGATGAGGACACAATACAACTATTTTTTATATAATATATGATTAAAATTAAGATATGGAGTTCGAAAGAGTACACAGTCTTGTGGGTGTCTACTAGACTTGGGAAATCGGGTCGTAACAAAGGTTGATCCGAACCGATCCTTGGACAACTTGAATTTTCGGTTTGATCCTGAACCTCCCGGCTTTCTCATGACCTGACCTGGGCCTGATCAGACAAAAGCTTCGACGTTGATTCCCTGATGTCTAGGTGTCTATGGAAATACAGCTACAGTCCACTTTCGCTGCTGCATTTCTTTAAAGCCGCCTATAGGGAAGATAAAGGGAACCTATTAGAATCGTATTTTTAGAGAAAAAGGTCTGGCTACATGTGATGACAATAAATGCGTCTACTTAAAGGATTTACCCGCCCTAAACGTTTATCAAGTCTGTTCGATGTACTTCGGCTATTTTCATGCTACCCGGAGATGCAGCGCTTATTCAACTGTTTGCCTTTATCAATGAATTACAAGGTTAGTTTATATTTAGCTTAGTAAATTCTAAAGTTAAAAGTTAGAGCTTCTATGATTGATTTCGAGAAATCCTTCATTGGAAAGGTTGTTAATTGTCATTTCACCTTTCCAAATCACTCAATTGAAGCGTGAATTTCTTATGAGTCAACTCATTCATGGAGAACAGCTTGTTAATTCATCACAAGAAAGCTACAATGCTCTGCTGAAAGTTTGAATTTCTGTCTATTTTGTATTCGAATTATTTAGGCTATTTCACCGAATGGTTCTGCTCGATATGTGACCCAGAAATTGCTTGATTTGCAAGAACCTTAGGGAAACGTGTTGAAGCACTCTTCACCTTTACATTTGACTTTACCCCAAGCGTCTCCTCAATCACCAAAAGTAATTCACGGTCAACATCTACGAAAATTTACTGTTGGAAATGGCCCATTGGGCAAAAATCTCATTGATCATTTGCAGGCTTTGTGTTGTTATATTCATGGTGTCTAAGTTGTTTGTTTATTTCTTTCTTGATAGTAATTTTTGTTCTAGAAATGTTCCTATAATCTTATAAACAATAAAAGCAATAAAGTGATTCTTGCTTCAGCTTAAGCATATGATGTAAGTTGTTTTTGATACTTTCGTACAAAAATTTGGAGACACCAAAAACGACCACTTTTTGAAATTTCACACTGTTTTGTCTACCGTAAATACTGTAATAGTACCCCACCCCCCTCGTACAGTCGCGTAGTCGCAAAAAAGCGCCCGTACTTTCAAAAAATGTGTCTTTGGTATGAAAAAATAGCTGAAATTCAGGGCTATTTTTTGATATTTAAACGAGCATTGTAGCATAAACCAGTGTCGAGAAAAACTCGTTCAAAGCTAGACTACGCAACACTCCACACCGTCATTATGGGGGTGGGGTACTATTACAGTATTTACGGTAGCTCCCTAATTATCATAACCTGATTATCTGTAATAAATGCCATTATAAATATCACAAGCCCGATAGATGTAATCTGTAAAAACACTGACCGATTGATGGGCATGGAATTTGTTCTTTGCGTCGACGAAAGATCCGGCAGCCGTTCCACCGCTGACATTCGATGAGATATCCCAGAGGCACACCGTTTGATCGTCGCTTGCCGAGAGGAGATGTCCCGCCAAATTCGGATTCCACGAGAGACCATAGCCTTCTTTTGTGTGTCCGCGAAGTCTGAAAAAAGTATACTTGTGTCATTTTGAGTTCTGCTCGAATGTTCGTCACAACGAAGTGAGTTCATTTGTTCCAAAAGCAGGTTTTCTAGGCTAGGAACGATCAGAGTCCAGCCAAAAGCAAGTCTGATCCTGGCTTTGCTGCAGCCTGGTCCCTCTAGAAACCAAGACTAACTTCTGGCCTAACCTACAGGCTTTAGAGTAGGTTTCTTGTTGAGGAGCTTGAGCGCTAATAGTTTTTTTTCTAAAAAACCAAGCTTACTTGAGCGTCGGCTTGCATTGACCGTCATTTGGTGGAATTATGGTGGAAAATCTTGATAGTTGAAGACGTAGACCTGAAAGAGAATTGTACATTACAACTCAATTTTGACTTTAGAATAGGTATAGTAATCAAAATCCGATTTCTAATTCAAATCAAAACCCCACCTCAGTGTTAGGCGATTTTGTGGCTATGATGTGCGGATTCTGGGGCATATAGCGAGCTCGGTTCACTTCTCCATCGTGATTGATGCGCCTGAGAATGATGTGATTTTTGATTCCTGCAATCTTCACTTACTGTTCGATATCGATCTTTCCCGCTTGACTTCCGAAACCGTTGAACTCTAAAAAGAGGATGAAATGAAGTCAACGATCATCACTCACCAGAATGATCAAAATCGAAACGATTCGCGTCCACGCGCACATCCTCGTTCGGGATTCGAACCTAGAAGCATTTTTTTTGTAGAAATGATAGCGTTTATAACCTTTGCAATAACGAGGTGATTTTGCTCGTCGGAGGTGTGAGTGCCGAGGATGAGACGATGCACCGTGTAATCCTGACCATCAACCTAAATTTCGATTCCATTCAATTCAAACACCAACTTCACTTTAGACAAGTTTTCTTAACAATCCGAAAGAGCTGTTTTTTATCTAACTATCAACTCTGCAAACCTTTTGCGTGTCTGGCAACCATTGAGCGGTGAGTGATGGCCATTCGAGCGCGTGCGACATGACGAGATCGTAGAGAAGCGGGGTATTCTTGCGCCATATTCGATGCTCCTCATTGATTTGGCGCTCCTCAGCGCTCAGCTCTTCGCTCATTTCTGAAAAAATTGCAAGATTGTATTGCTCACATTGAAAATTGTGCGTAAAAAAAAGTAACTTGAACAAGTTGGACAATTATTTGTAAAGTTCAAACATGATCTAATTGGGAGTGGGACAAATGCTATCTTTTTTTGCGCACCCAGACATTTGCGAACCTTGCCCATTTAGCGCACTTTTTTTCGCGTTTTAAAAAAGCTCTAAAAAGCTAATATTAACCAATTTTTAGCCCCAATGTTGTTTTTCTACAAAATTTTTAGGGCGTAGAATCGAAATTTTGACATATTAGAGTTTCAGAGAAACAAACGAACGGAGTTAATAAAAAGAGAAAAATCGACAAATCTAGCCATCTGCAATTGGATCTAGCCGTTTTGTCTTTCAAATTGGTTCCACAAGCTCTGATATGTCAAAATTTCGATTCTACGCCCTAAAATTACCTAGAAAAACAACATTTGGAATAGAAATTGGTTATTAGCTATATTAGCTTTTTAGAGCTTTTTTAAAACGCGAAAAAAGGTGCGCAAAAAAAACTCCTTGTATAACTCCGTCCGTTTGTTTCCACAAGCTCTGATATGTCAAAATTTCGATTCTACGCCCTAAAATTACCTAGAAAAACAAAAAAACAACTTTTGGAATAGAAATTGGTTAATATTAGCTTTTTAGAGCTTTTTAAAACGCGAAAAAAGGTGCGCTAATGGGCTAAATGCGAAAAAAAGGTGCGCAAATGTCCGGGTGTGCAAAAAAAAAGGTCGCCTTTGTCCCACTCCCTCTAATTAGATCAAAAGACAATCAAAGTTCGATAGCTTTATGAAATAATTAAAAATTAAAACAAGAAATCAGAATTTGAATGGATAAAGTTAAAAGAAATGAAAAGGTTTTTTTGAAAAAACAACTCGACTCCGCTGACTCCTTTGTACGTTAAAGGAAAGGCGGTTGGGGAATGCGGGAAAAGAAAGCGCTTAAAATAGAAGGCATTCATAAGAGACAATTACATTTTAAAGAGCAGATTTGCAGAATTAAAGAGCAAAGAGAATTGTTTGAATAAAGATGGACTTTAATTGAATATCTGAGACAATGATTGACAATGACAATGATAATGATAAGTATCTATTAAAACTAATTTGCTCTGTCTTAATGATTACTAGTGTGCTTTCTCTTCAATAGGCCTCTTCACTAGACGTGGCTAAACCTGTGCGCGTTTGCTTGAATGAATAAAAAGTGGGGGTAAAGCTTGTGAAAATGTTTCAACAAAAATGAAAGAAACAATGTGTTGACCCAATCACTTTAATCATTCAAGACAAAAAAAAACAAAGACAAAAAGGAAATAAACTTTCACAAGAATAAATGAGAAAATTCTGGGGAAGCAGGCGCTGTTTAGGGGGGTGGAACAAATGCGACCTTTTTTTTTTGCGCACCTGGACATTTGCACACCTTTTTTTTGCTGGAAAAGGCCTTAGCAAAAGTCGTAGAGCTTTAAAAATGTTTTCATAGAAGGTGTATGAACTAAAATGAGGATATAGTGTAACGTGCTTTATCTTCTGTGGAGTCTCAATGTGGTTTATGTCTGCTTCTTTAAAGAAACAAGACTTTATTTAACACCTGAATCACCACGCAAAACACTACGTTCCACGTTAACAACACCACGTACAACAAACAAGAATAAAACACTCACTGAGAAATGAATGAAAAAAAATCACTTAATAAATGAGAACACGAACCACTTGCAAAAGGGAATGCGAAAGAAAAATAATCACTTGATCAAGAGCAAGAAAAATGAATCAAGAAGACTCAACTGAAAGAAAAGAACGAACGGAATAAGATAGGAAACCTTTTATAGCCTGTTATTTGTGCAAAAGTTACTTAGTCAACGGTTACGTACGTTCCCAAGGGCACGTTATAGAATTTAAAACCTTTAACTGACGTGTGTGAGGATCGAGAGTTCGATCAGAAGGGAATCGTATATGTAGATTCAGAATTTTGACAAATCACACCTCGCTGACACGTCAAATTTGGGCTAAAAAGCAAAAACTACGCAACTTAACGCTTTTCCGCAGTTTTTGCCTTAAGTATACAAGCTACAACAAACGGACAGCTGAATATCGTCTAGTGACTGATTACGGTAGTTTATCCATCAACTTGTTGTGTATTGAATTTTTGACTAACTGCAGAGCAGTGGCAATTCGCCGGCCTTGCCGCCTTGCCTGCCTTGCCGCCTTGCCTTGGCCTTGCCTAAGGCTTTTTCCAGCAAAAAAAAAAGGTCGCATTTGTCTCATCCCCAGGAAATCAACTTTCACAAGAATAAATGAGAAAATTCTGGAGAAACAGGCGTTGTTTAGTGTTTTATTGTTTAGGGTACGGTATTTCTGGTGTCTTATTAGACAGCCTTTTAGTGAATCATCGTTATACATTTCGAGTGTGTCCCCCCCTCTTCCTGTGTCCCTTTTTGTCCTTCTATAGATTTCTTCTCTTAGTGTCCTTTTCAGGTCTCCCCTTTAGTGTTTTTTTCTCTAGTATCCCCCTATTTTTTTTGCAAATGCATCGAACTTTAACATGCATCGAACATCGATGTTTAAAAAGTTAAAGCACATTTGGAGAGCAAAAAGTTGTGATTTGATATGAAAAAAATAGGGGGATACTAGGGGGGGGACACTTTAGGGGGACAAAAAGGGGACACTTTGAGGGGGACACTTAGGGGGGCAAAAGGGGTATTCACATTTGGGGGGGACACTCGAAATGTATAATCATCGTCAGACTAAGAGAGTAATGGAAAATTACCATTTTTTTCATTACCCTCTTAATCTAAATATTGCATTTTTTTTCATAAGATGACGTTTCCCCATCACCTTGTAATCTTAAAAGAATAAAGCACAAAAAAAGGCCTCACCGCCCATTTTCTTGTGATAAGAGAAAACACTGGCACAGAGCTCACCGAAAATCCATATTTGAACCGGAAAATGCTTCGGCTATTTGCCTTGATTCTGATTTTGAGTATTTCTGGACTGCTCGCCGTACCGAAGTGAGTTTTAAAGCTTTTAGCTTAAAGCTTAAAGCTTTTAAGAGCTTTAAACGATAGTACACATATTCTCAAATATGTTTGTTCGCTTTTGGTACTTGTCACAAGATTTTGACTTTAACCAGCTCTGCATCAATGATCTATCCTTAAATCGAATTCAAAAATCAAGCCATAAAATAGATCTATCCTTATTCCAACTCACAAACCAATCCATAAAATAGATCTATCCTTATTCCAACTCACAAACCAATCCATAAAATAGATCTATCCTTATTCCAACTCACAAACCAATCCATAAAATAGATCTATCCTTATTCCAACTCACAAACCAATCCATAAAATAGATCTATCCTTATTCCAACTCACAAACCAATCCATAAAATAGATCCATTCTTAAATCCAACTCAAAAGCAGTTTATTTTATCTAATATCATGTTGTTATCCTTAAAAACTTGAAACCTTGATTGTTAAACTTGTGAGTTTTCAAATCTCAATGCACCATTCAATTCCAGACGACGAGATGATGATCCGAATCCTCTCCACATCAGGGACTCACCTATTCCCGGAATCGAATCCTCGTTGCTCCAATCACCATCGGGACGCCAGGTTTATGCTAAAAGATATACTAACTACTATAAAAAAGCAAAAAAACTATTATCCTTGCCTTCAATGAAAACAATCTATCACTCTTTAAAACAATCTATGACTCTTTAGATCAATCACTGAACCTTCTGGTTGACTCAACTGGGGCTGACAGCATTGTCTTTGATCAGGATTGTCTGGTGAATGAGAGTTTTGTACTTTTAAATGTAAGTTCTGATTTCAGAGAGATGATGGGACGAAATGCTCAAATGATCAAGAACAGAACTACACTCGGACACTTTACTCACCTTCGTGAGTTTATTTAAAGTCAATTCATCTATTTTGCATCTTTTCCCCCCATTTTTAGTCAGTCCACAACTTCGAAATCGCTTGGTTTCGGGTGGAAATATGGGGATGACTGGTTGTCGGCAAATTGTGACGCATTCAGCGATTCCATCACTTTCGCCGATTTCCCTATTGGCATGGCTTTTGGATCAGCGAAAAAGGTTCGGAAAGAACAAGGAAATGTTCTGATTGTGATCGTGATTTCAATTGAAAAGTAGAAGATCTTATGTCAAATGCAGCAGTTAAACTAATACGAGATCGAAAATGGTTACAAAGTATCTAGCTGGTTAAGTCTTTGAGCATCTTTAGCTAGAGATTTAGCTACAAATTTAACAATTTTACACGGCCTGGCCATGTTGAAACACCTAAGTTTCAAGCCTAAGCCTAAGCTTCTCCCAAGCCTAAGCCCTCCTAAGCCTAAGCCTGAGCCTGAGCCTGAGCCTAAGCCTATTGCTAAGCCTAAGCCTAAGCCTGAGCTTGCACCTTAGCTCCGGGAACCGGCTGAGATCCAAAAAATGGGGGTTCAGCCTAAACCCAAATAGACTTAGTGCGAGGCGCTAGCCGCTAGCCTTCGCACTAAGTCCAAACCTAAGCCTAAGCCAAAGCCAAAGCCAAAGCCCTAAGCCTAAGCCCTAAGCCTAAGCCTGCCCAAGCCCAACCAGACTTAGTGCTAGGGGCGCCAGCGCCACCACACCAAGTCCAAGCCTAAGCCAAAGCCTGGGCTTCAAGCCTAAGCCCAAGCCTGAGCCCGTCGTAGTGCGTCAGCAATGCTGGGCTCAATTCAGTCTCTGGATCTGAATCTTAGCAGATGAGAGGGATATCTTCCCTTAACCGAGTGCTGTAGGTAACCACATCCATATGGTGAACTGGTTCCCAAGACTGACCGGTCTTCGGAACCCCTAGGCCCCTCTCCCCACGGGATTGGGATAAACAGGGATCCAAATGGGTAGACTTTTCTGAGGCGCAAGCTCATATAAAGCGGGTAGCCTTCTCCTCCTAGATCGTCTCCTACGTCCTACAAACGATAGAATATTCCCTAGGTCTTAATGTGTCAATTGTGATTATGTGTGTGCAAGATAAAACAGCGGTAACCTCGGTATACATTATTATTATAATTTAAATACTAGTACATATCTAGTACTATTCATGTACTAGCTTTGAGTTTAGTACAGGTTGTAGTACTTGAGCACATTTGTACTTTGTACTTGAGTAAAGTACTTTAGTACTTGAGTATTAAGTACTTTAGTACTTTAGTACTTGAGTATTAAGTACTTTTGTACTTTTGTACTTGAGTATTTGTACTTGAGTATTAAGTACTTTTTTTTTGGTATCACCTTTGTACAAATTATCTAACAATATTAACGTAAACTAGATCAATTTCATCTTTTTCTTTTCCAGTTGACTGGTGATTGGACAAAAGTGATAGCTGATGGGGTTCTTGGACTTGGTTTACCTGGATCGAACAATCTCGGTGCATCAATCATCAAAAATCTCACATCTACTTATCCATCAAACACTCAAAATCCAAATATTGTCACTTTATGGTTGGATGAGTGAGTGAGAATTAAGAAAAATTTGAGTTTATTTTACAAACTACAGCTTCGGTCAATTGTCCAAGGGTTACTTGGACGATTGGGGGATTATGACTCGAGGAATTGTTTCTTGGATGATTTAGTCAATGTCAGTCTAACATCCGGAGTCGCGTGGGAGTTTCAGATTCAGGGGTGAGTGAAAGGAGATGGAATTGGGTGACAAATATGGTGTCGACAACTGAAACAAATATCAAATTTCAGTTGGAACTATGGAAATCAATCAGCAAAAGGCAGTATCACTCGCCTAGACACCACATCGAGATCGATTCTCTTCCCGAGAGCTCAACTCGCCGTGATTGCGCAAGCCGTTGGCGCGATTTACGATAACGAGATTCAAGGGGTGAGTTGAGAAAAAGCTGAATCCAGGATCTGGGTAGCTCTGTGGTGTATTGGTTAACGACGCTGTTCCTACGCTGTTCTAGAAGCCGCTGTTCCCCCGTAGGTTTGAGTCTGGGGATTCATGGAGTGAGTTGAGAAAAAGCTAAACTCGGTTGGGTGTTGAAAACTAAAAATGGAAAAAAAAAAAAACCGTATTGGAACCGCATTGAAAAAACAAAAAAAAAAAAATAAAAAAAAATAATAAAAAATAAATAAAAAAAAAAAAAAAAAAAAAAAAAAAAAAAAAAAAATTGAACCGTATTGGAACCATATTGGAACATAATAATAAAAAAAACAAAAAAAAATTAAATAAAAAAAAAAAAATGGACCGTATTGGAACCGTATTGGAACCATATTGGAACTAAAAAGGGACCGTATTGGAAACGTATTGGAACCGTATTTGAACCGTATTGGAACCGTATTTGAACCGTATTGGAACCATATTGGAACTAAAAATGGACCATATTGGTTAACGTCGTTGTTCCGTCGTTGTTTCAAAATTCGTTCCCCCGTAGGTTCTAGAGTCTTCCAGTGGGGGATCTAAGGAGTGAGTTGAGAAAAAGTAGAACTCGGAATGGTATTCGAATGGCCTCGTGGTGTATTCGTTAACGTCGCTGTTTCCACGCTGTTCCAAAAATCGTTCTGATTGAGTTCGATTGTACGTGTAAGGTGTAAGCACTTAGCCAAAGCCTTGCGCTTTGTCTAACTTCTATATTTTAAACTCTTTTTGTTTAAAGTGTCTGTATATTGAAGAGCTAAGTTTTGTCAAAGCTATAAAACAAAAATTAAAAGCAAAACATTTTCTACAACATTTTAGTACTATATTCCATGCGAGAACGCGGTTTTCCTTCCCGATTTCTTCCTGACAATCGGCAATAAACAATTCAATATCCCATACGTGGAATACGTTGAATCGGTGAGTCAGCAAAAGAATCTTAAAATCTAAAGCAATTGTTCAGTTTAAAAGCTCGGATCGTTGCGAGCTGCTCTTCAACGAGAACACGATTTGGGAGCAGACTCGGTTTGGGCCACAGGTAATACAAAAGTACAAGAATTTTAGGTGGAAATTGATCTGAAAACTGTTTTGTTTACAAGGGAAGGGGTCAACTAGATGTGCTGTAAATGACACGAATCATAAACCAAAGCAGAACAAACCTGAGCACGATGCTGTTTTCCGTTTTTGCTAAACAGCACTGTGAAAAGTTATACGTCTTAAGAAGCTTTAACAATCGGGCATAGTCGTTAAAACCGGCTCGGGAGGCCGGGAGCTGTGCAGAGGCCTGGGAGCTATGCAGAGGCCTGGGAGCTATGCAGAGGCCCGGGAGCTGTGCAGAGGTGGTCGAGTGGTAGTAGGTTAGAATATAAGGCAAGACCTGCCGGGTTCGAGTCCGGGTTCGAGTCCGGGTTCGAGTCCGGGTTCGAGTCCGGGTTCGAGTCCGGGTTCGAGTCCGGGTTCGAGTCCGGGTTCGAGTCCGGGTTCGAGTCCGGGTTCGAGTCCGGGTTCGAGTCCGGGTTCGAGTCCGGGTTCGAGTCCGGGTTCGAGTTTTTTTTTTTTTTTTTTTTTTTTTTTTTTTTTTTTTTTTTTTTTTTTTTTTTTTTTTTTTTTTTTTTTTTTTTTTTTTTTTTTTTTTTTTTTTTTTTTTTTTTTTTTTTTTTTTTTTTTTTTTTTTTTTTTTTTTTTTTTTTTTTTTTTTTTTTCCCTTTTTCGAGTCCGGGTTCGAGTTCGGGTTCGAGTCCGGGCTCGAGTCCGCCTGGGAGTCCGGGTTCGAGTCCTCGTTCGAGACTTTTTGGAGCTGATTCTGTTACTCGACTGACTTTTTAGGTTTAATTGCGTTCGGATTGTTTCTTAGATGATTTAGATGATTGATTAGATGATGATGATTCAATGTCAGTCTAAAATTTGGAGTCAGGTGAGAGTTTCAGATTCCGGGATGAGTGAAAGGAGTGAAAGGAGTGAAAGGATATGAAATGGTTTTGTCATTTTGGTTTGCTCGTGCCATTTTGGCTATCCAGTTGAAATTCTCTTGTTAATACTGAGCTCAATGAAAGGTCAACTAAGCTCTTTTAGATTCATTTAACCTTCCCCTTTAACTAAAATCCTTTAGGTTCGTTTGGGTCATCCATTCATGCGTGCTTATTGCACGATTTTCGACTATGCAACTCCAGCGATTAGCTTTTCAAAAGCTCATCATTTTCAATAAACAAAATAAAGTGTTTGAGATTTGAAATGGCAATGAATTAAGGCATAAAGCCAGTTAATAAACAAAATTGATCAAAGACAGAAGTTTTGTTTCTTTAAAAAGTGGCTGAGATTTGAAATGGCAAAGAATTAATGCATAAAGCCAGTTAATAAACAAAATTGATCAAAGACAGAAGTTTTGTTTCTTTAAAAAGTGGCTGAGATTTGAAATGGCAATGCATTAAGGCATAAAGCCAGTTAATAAACAAAATTGATCAACGACAAAAGCTTTGTTTCTTTAAAAAGTGGTGAAGATCTTAAATGGCAAAGAATTAAGGCATAAAGCTACCGTAAATACTGTAATAGTACCCCACCGCCCACGTACATTCGCGTAGTCGCAAAAGTTTCTTAGTATTTCATTTTTTTCAAAGCACTCGTACTTTCAAAAAATGCGTTTTTGGTATCAAAAAATAGCCCTGAATTTCAGCTATTTTTTGATATATGTTGTAGCATTGTAGCATAAACCAGTGTCGAGAAAAACTCGTCCAAAGCTAGACGACGCAACACTCCGCACCGTCATTATGGGGGTGGGGTACTATTACAGTATTTACGGTAAGTAATAAACAAAATTGATCAAAGACAGAAGCTTTGTTTCTTTAAAAAGTGGTTAATCTTTAGGAAATTCTTTTGAATCTTCCCAGATTTTCCCTAATTTTCATTGAATTCAATCTGTAACTCAAATTCAATTAAAAGAAAGTAAACCGGGCAAAGCTGAGAGAAATGCTAGCTATCTTTTAGTTATTCCTAGTTAGCTAGCTATCCCAAGTTAGCTAGTTATCTCAAGTTAGCTAGCTATCCAAGTTATTAGTTCTAAGTTAGCTAGCTATCCCAAGTTAGCTAGTTATCTCAAGTTAGTTTGGCTATCCTAAGTTATTGCTGTCTATCTCAAGTTAGCTAGCTATCCCAAGTTAGCTAGTTATCTCAAGTTAGCTAGCTATCCCAAGTTAGCTAGCTATCCTGGGTTAGCTAGCTATCCTGTTAGTTATCCTGCTAGCTAGCTATCCCAAGTTAGCTAGCTATCCCAAGTTAGCTAGCTATCCCAAGTTAGCTAGCTATCCCAAGTTAGCTAGCTATCCCAAGTTAGCTAGCTATCCCAAGTTAGCTAGCTATCCCAAGTTAGCTAGCTATCCCAAGTTAGCTAGCTATCCCAAGTTAGCTAGCTATCCCAAATTAGCTAGCTATCCCAAATTAGCTAGCTATCCCAAATTAGCTAGCTATCCCAAATTAGCTAGATATCCCAAATTAGCTAGCTATCCCAAATTAGCTAGCTATCCCAAATTAGTTAGCTATCCCAAATTAGTTAGCTATCCCAAATTAGTTAGCTATCCCAAATTAGCTAGCTATCCCAAATTAGTTAGCTATCCCAAATTAGCTAGCTATCCCAAATTAGTTAGCTATCCCAAATTAGCCAAATCTTTTACATAAAAAAAAACAAACTCTACTCACTAAAAACCCCTTGCAAAAAGTCGTTTTTAGACATTTTCGGCTTTTTTTTTTCAAAAAGCAAAAAGCAATTTGCATATTTGGCTTTAAAAGCTTAAAAAAAACATAGCACAGACAAGCGCTTCTAGGTTGAAAAAAGAAAAAAATTGACAACAAATGAGAAAAAAAATTGACAACAAACATTAAGTGTACCTAGCGAAACGTTTTTTGAACTTATCATGGGTTTTCTGTGGTCAAAAATCGCAAATTTCTCTCTAAATTCATGCAAATCTGGGGGAAAAAAGAATCGAGGAAATCGACAGTTCAAAAGATCCGAATGCGAGATGGGCAGTTCATTCTAGACGTTAAACTTGTTCATTGAATGACTTTGGATTGAATTGACAGTGTCTAGATTAGCTACGGTGTCAGGAAACTAGTATAATTTGGAGTACTTTGACTTATTTTCGATTATTTTGGCTTATTTTGGCTTATTTAAAATTACTTTGGCTTACTTTGACTTATTTGGACTTAATTGGACTTACTTCCGCTTGCTGTGGCTTACTTTCGCTTAGTTTGGCTTACTTTGGCTTATTTGGACTTACTGTCGCTTAGTTTGACTTGCTTTCGCTTGCTGTGGCTTACTTTCGCTTAGTTTGGCTTAGTTTGACTTACTTTGGCTTACTGTGGCTTTTTTTTTCTTACTTCCTGGCTTTCATTTCTGAAAGCTTTCATTTTTGGCTTCCTGTGGCTTACTTTCGCTTAGTTTGACTTGCTTTCGCTTAGTTTGACTTACTTTCGCTTACTGTGGCTTACTCTGGCTTACTCTGGCTTACTCTGGCTTACTCTGGCTTACTTTGCTTCCTGTGGCTTACTTTCGCTTACTTTGACTTACTTTAGCTTTTGACTAGTATCCTACCGTTGTTTTAAGACCAAATAACAAATCTAGAATTTTTTTTGAATCTAAAATCAAACTCCACATTGTCAGTAGGATTTCGAATCAGTTTTGATGTTTTTTAAAAAAAATTTCTACAAATTGCCAATAAAAATCTGAAAGCCTGTACAGCCAATAAAAATGGCCTGTACAGCAATCTTTGAGGTCGTTCGATTTACAAAAACATTTCAAACAATCTCAACAATCTCAACAAATCCATTTTACGATCGAATAAAAAAATGGGATAGTTCAATTTTTGAGTTAACAAAAAAAGTTCGGAATTGAGGTTTAAAAAGTCACCCAATTTGGGTAATTGTGTACTTTTATGGTTATGGTTTCCATTTTTTGATATTTGGTGAGCTTTTGTTGATATAAAAGGTTTGTGTAAAGGGGAAGATAAAGAAAAAAGTTGAAGTAATTTCAGTTTGAAGCGATTCAAAGGAAATGGTGCGTTTTGTTTTGTTTTGTTTTGTTGAAAGTTTTGTTGAAATTTCTTTCTCTAACACCATCTTTGTTAGCTGTGATGCGAAAAAAGTGTCCTTATTTTGCTTTAGATTAACTTAGAAATAGGATAAAAGCTTTAAAATAGGATAAAAGCTTTAAAATAAGATAAACGATCTTTATCTGTCTGAGCACTGCACTCAAATTTGCCTTTCCTTCAGTATCTTTGCTTTAGATCTTTACTTTAGCTGTAGGAAGCTTTAGGAAGTTTTAGGTTTTATGAGCTTTGGGGAGTTTTTAGGAGTTTTAGGAAGCCTGGTGGGAAGCTGCAGAAAGCTGTAGGAAGTTGTAGGAAGCTTTAGGAAGCTGTAGGAAGTTGTAGAAAGCCGTAGAAAGTTTTAGGAAGCTTCTCAGGAAGCTTTATAGGCTGTGGAAGCCAGGAAGCTGTAGAAAGCTTTAGGAAGCTTTAGGAAGCTGTGGGAAGCTGTGGGAAGCTGTGGGAAGCTTCAGGAAGCTTTTAGAAGCTTTAAGGAGCTTTGGGAAGCTTTAGGAAGCTTTAGGAAGCTTCAGGAAGCTGTAGAAACTGTAGGAAGCTGTAGGAAGCTTTAGGAAGCTGTAGGAAGCTGTAGGAAGCTGTAGAAAGCTTTAGGAAGCTTTAGGAAGCTTTAGGAAGCTGTGGGAAGCTGTAGGAAGCTGTAGAAAGCTTTAGGAAGCTTTAGGAAGCCGTGGGAAGCTGTAGGAAGCCGTAGAAAGCTTTAGGTAGTTTTAGGAAGCTTTAGGGAAGCCAGGGAAGCTGTGGGAAGCTGTAGGAAGCTGTAGAAAGCTTTAGGAAGCTTTAGGAAGCTTTCGAAACGATATTATATCGATTTTTCTAGATTCGTACTCTTATCATACTCGCAATTTTCATCATCGTAAGCGAATCGGCCGTCCCGAAGCCTCTTCCAGTAACGTACACAAAGCAGAAAAAATATTCGGCTTGTCAGGTGATAAAAAAATGAGTTCTAAATTCTAAATTCTAATGCAAAAATACGAATTCTAAAGTGTTAAAGTACTAAAGTGAATAGGTTCAAAGTATTGGGTTGGTGAATTGAAAATTGCGGGACTTTGAACTAAAATCTCTCTAAATTTGGTTCCTTATCTCTCTCTAGATCTGGTTCCTTATCTCTCTAAATTTGGTTCCTTATCTCTCTCTAGATCTGGTTCCTTATCTCTCTAAATTTGCCCACTTCTCTACAACTTTGGTGAATTGTAAACTGCGGGACTTTGAACTAAAATTTATTCAACATAAAACCATCAACCATTCATCAAACCATTCATTCGAAATAATTTCCATTATTATTGACGACTTCTGCTCATTTTACAGGCAATTTGCGGACTCCTCTTTTGTGGTAGGATTTTGGTTTGTGTGTGAGACAAGTGTGAGACTCAAAAATGGAGGACTGGAGATGTCCCAGTTTAAGCACTTTCTTCAAAAGAAACCCATTTTGGTGTCAATAGAAAAGTTGTAGAGAATCGAAAATGAGGCTTATATCCAAATTTCCAAAAAGATACACTTAGTAGTTTCGCTTAAAATGCAAGTTTTGTCGCAAGTTTTGTGAAAATTCGTAAATTTGGCATTTCTTGAAAACCAGTTTTTTGAATCGTTCTGAAAATTTGGATATAAGCTTTATTTTTGATTCTCTACAACTTTTCCATTGACACCAAAATGGGTTTCTTTTGAAGAAAGTGTGAGAACTGGGACATATCAGAATTGCCGGAAGTTTTCAATTCACCAACCAAATAGGAACCAAATAGGAATGAAATATGAACCAAATATGAACCAAATATGAATCAAATAGCAACCAAATAGAAACCAAATAGCAACCAAATATGAACCAAACAAAATATGAAAAATAACTTTAGGATTACTGTGCAGGACAATCGATCTCAACGAGTACAGGTTTTGACTTTAAAAAGGCAAAATGGACATTATGCAATTGTCCGATTGGGCAAGGATCGCATGTGTGAGTGGTTGAAAGTTCCTCGGCATTGCATCATTCATAAAATTTAGTTGGCAAGCCACTCCGTGCTTTGATCAATGCGTGGAGCGATGTGTGACGACGTTGGGAGTTTGTTCGACCAAATTCACGTTGAACCTCTTGTATCGCGGGTATTTTTTTGAAGAACCACGATAATTAGGCCAAAGTTTAAAGCACGAAGTTAAGGTGAGCTTTTGTGGCCAAGTGGCCAAGTGAATAACGAATTAGGCTACCGCTCACGGGATCGAGGTTCACTCCCTCATCCAGCTTTTTGTTTTTCTTTTCAAGCAACTTCTAGCATTTTGCAGCTAAGTGTAAAGTCTAGACAAAAGCTCAACTTTCATGTTTTTCTCTAGGAAATCTGTCTAGAACCTCTAGAACCTAAAGCCAAGTCTGAGATCTGATCTGATCTCCAGATCCAGCTCTGCTAATCGATAGAATTCAGCTTTCAGCAATTCAGCAAATGAGAATGATAAGAGCTTTCCGTTCCAGAGAATGTTGCACAACTGCGAACCGCAATGCGACAATTAAACAAGATTGCTTTGCTGAAACGGGTGGCGCCTGTTATTGTAATCAACAATGTGGTGGTGGTGGTGGTGGTGGGCCGATTGGAGGACCGATTGGAAAGAGATAATCACACCGATTGGAAAGAGATAATGTGATCTTACAACTGTCTTTTTATAGTCCCTAGTTTCCATCGTTTTCCTATAAACAGATAGATAAACATTGGAATGTTAAAGAATTCTCAAATTTACACAGAACTTGCCTGACTATTTCACACAAGACAATACAAACAGATTTGGCTACAAGATAGGCTGTAAATCTTACTTTAAGTTGCTAGCCTTTCCTAGAATATTATAGGGCAGGCTGCCAACTTAAGATAGGGCTTTCAGCCTATCTTATAGTTGATTCTGTTTGTCTCAACGAGAACCTGGTCGAATGGTGCGACGCCAGCTGGAACACAAAGCTTTCAAAGTCCCTCGACAACATACGATTCCATCATCTGGTCATGAGTGCCGATCTCTTTCGATTTATGTCCTTGAAAGGACGCCAAAAACGTTCAATGGTTTGCGTGTGAATCGTTGCATTAAGCCCGACAAAATTTGTGCTGTGTAGCCCACGACTATGAATAATCCGGGTCGTTTGCAAGTTGTCGATAAGCTCTCCATCCATCGGAGACTGGTTTGATGTGCTGCTTAATTGCAGTCAAAAGTATCGTAGCTGTTCTATCCAGTACTAGCAAAGCAAGAGATTCTCGAGCATAAATACAGTGATCATACTCCCACCTTGTGCTCGAATTCCCATTGAGTGACCACATCTACAAATCATCTTTTGAATGATGTTTTTCTCAAGGAAAAAGTTTGGCACTTCTTTTTCATTCAGTCCACAGATATCAGCGTAACAATGGCCGTGCTGTTGAATTCGATAACAATGGTCGTGATGTTGAATTCGATAACAATGGTCGTGATGTTGAATTTGATAACAATGGTCCTGCTGTTGAATTCGATAACAATGGTCGTGATGTTGAATTCGATAACAATGGTCCTGCTGTTGAATTCGATAACAATGGTCGTGCTGCTGAATTCGATAACAATGGTCGTGCCGTTGAATTCGATAACAATGGTCCTGCTGTTGAATTCGATAACAATGGTCGTGATGTTGAATTCGATAACAATGGTCCTGCTGTTGAATTCGATAACAATGGTCGTGATGTTGAATTCGATAACAATGGTCCTGCTGTTGAATTCGATAACAATGGTCGTGCTGTCGAAATCGATAACAATGGTCGTGATGTTGAATTCGATAACAATGGTCGTGCTGCTGAATTCGATAACAATGGTCGTGATGTTGAATTTGATAACAATGGTCGTGCTGCTGAATTCGATAACAATGGTCCTGCTGTTGAATTCGATAACAATGGTCGTGATGTTGAATTTGATAACAATGGTCGTGCTGTCGAAATCGATAACAATGGTCGTGCTGCTGAATTCGATAACAATGGTCGTGTTGTTGAATTCGACATTCTTCCGAGCCTGAAAGAAAAAAATTAGTGTAAAGTAACAAATAACGTAATAAAAAGTAGCAAACAGCACAAAAAAAGTAATTAATAACGACTGGAAAGAATGCGGCAAACAGCGACTGCGAATTTAAAAAGGCAACATCTTCAGTTTGTTGGCTGAATATTCTTACGCATGTGATAATAATTTTTTAGCCCCAGCGATACTCCACAAGCATCAAAATTTGGTTTATAGCCAAATTTTCAGAGAAATGAATTCTGCCAATGCCTTTATATCACCTTTATCGAATTTCACAAAACAAGCGAGTTTTTGAGCTTAAATTTGCTTGGAAATGAGTGCAAATTGTCTTAAAAAGATAGAAAAGCGAGGAAAAGAAATTTTCTATTTAAAGCAAAGTATTTCTGTTTCCTTTTTGAATGTGAATTGATGAATTTGGTGAATGCTGTAAACGCTAGCATCAAAAAAAAAAATGCTCAAAGACTTTCTGGGAGCATGATGATTGCGCTGCGAAAATTACGCCGCAAGTCAAAAACGAAAATTGAGCATATGAAATTTGCGCTGAAGAATTTTGCGCTACGAATTTTGCGCTGAAGAATTTGAGTTCATTGAGAAGAATTATCCCATCAAGCACCCAAATGACGTTCGTTGAAATTCTTTTTAGCTACAAGTCGAACTTCATTTCGCCAGTTTAGAAATAAAAACGCAATGCGTTTATTCTTTCGCGCGAACCCGTCGATTCTCCAAATGAAGCGAGTCGGTTCTCAGCTACCGATGCCCGTCTCGCAAAAGAGGAAATTGATGGTAATTAGTTGATTTTCAACAATTAGCTAGTCGATTCGAATGCTAAACAATTCCAGCTCTTGTTCAACAATTTACAATCATTTAGGCAGCCGAGAACCTCGACATTCAGAAGCGGCTCGGCCCAGTTGCACGCAATATTAGCAATTTCAGTAAGTTATCTTTGAAAAAGTTCTATTTTATTGAAAAAAAATAAGAAAACTTGGTGAAGGTGAATAACTCGAAAATTTGTCGGGTGATACTTGACGATTGCTTGGACTCGTTGACCCATAACACTCGTTGATTGGTCCTTTTGGATGGATCAAGGATCACACAACAATGGATGAAGCCATTTGCTGAGTATTAGGGGGTGCTCGATCGGGGATCGAACTTGGGTTTGTTTTTTTGTTTTTTTTTGTCCTTGAGACCTTATTTTTTAATGAATCAGAATCGAATTTTAATTTCAATCACAATGAGTAAATGTTGGAAATTCAAAACATTATTGCTTGTAGAGTTGCTGTAGCTTGTAGCAAACATTATTGCTGTTTTCCTCGAATCAAATCGTTCAAATCATGTTTTCTAAGAGGTGCTCGTTTGAAAAGTCATTTTCTAAACGCTCTTTTTCGGGAGTGGGACAAATGCGACCTTTTTTTGCGCACCTGGACATTTGCACACCTTTTTTTACTGGAAAAGGCCTTAGGAAAGGTCGTAGAGCTTCAAAAATGTTTTCATATTAGGGAATCGTATGCGTAGATTCCGAATTTTGACAAATCAGACGTCGCTGACACGTCAAATTTGGGCTAAAAGGCAAAAACTACGCAACTTAACGCCTTTCCGCAGTTCTATTAACTCTTCTATTAACAAACTGTGCATTTTAAAATTCTATTAACAAGCAAAATTCATAAACCGTAAGTCTAACATAGAACAAAGCTCGGCGCTTGCTTTTGGTCTTTTGGCAAAAATTTCGTATGCTTAACTTTCGTTTTTGACTCGTTTTTGACTAGCTTTTGACTCGCTTTTGATTCGTTTTTGGCTTGGGCAATCGTCCCGACTTTCCGTTCAACGTAATAGCAATGTTAAAAGTGTTCTAGGATACTTAAACGACATTTGACAAGCAGATTCTTTCGTTTTCATTTCTAAAAGATTTCTAAACTAATAAACTGGCTTTATGCCTCAAAAACAGATCAGCGTTTTTATCAAGAACTCTCTAAAAAGCATCGATGTTTATCCATAGTTGGCTTATGCAACGGCCCCGACCTTCCGTTCAACGTAATAGCAATGTTAAAAGTGTTCTAGGATACTTAAACGACATTTGACAAGCAGATTCTTTCGTTTTCATTTCTAAAAGATTTCTAAACTAATAAACTGGCTTTATGCCTCAAAAACAGATCAGCGTTTTTATCAAGAACTCTCTCAAAAAGCATCGATGTTTCCCCATAAATCTAGGTCATAGAAAAAACTTCTGTATTCAATTTTTCCTAAAAACTAAAAAGTTGGAAGCATTTTTCATTTAAAAATATTCAAATCCGAGAGTTTTTGCATAAATAAAGCGGTCAGCGACTAAAGCGAACCAAGCGCAAATATTGAAAAAGTCAAACTGTAGTTTTTTTCCCGTTCCAGGAACTCTTTTGCAGCTTAGGTGACTATTTATAAGGACAATGATACTTTTTGAATCTCAGCCAAACTTCAAAATTCTATTGTATTGAAAGCTTGTTCATTCGCTCTTGCAAATGAACAATCAATTAGCAAAAACACCCTTTCTGGTGCACTGAATTCTTCAAATTTTCTTGTAATTCAAAGGAAACGCTTTATTTTTTCAAGAAAAACGAATTCAGTACACCAGAGAAGATTGGGTTTCAATTTTCTGAGCTCACCGTACACCAGAAAGATTGGGTTTCAATTTTCTGAGCCCATCGTACACCAGAGAAGATTGGATTTCAATTTTCTGAGCCCATCGTGCACCAGAGAAGATTGGGTTTCAATTTTCTGAGCCCATCGTACACCAGAGAAGATTGGGTTTCAATTTTCTGAGCCCATCGTACACCAGAGAAGATTGGATTTCAATTTTCTGAGCCCATCGTACACCAGAGAAGATTGGATTTCAATTTTCTGAGCCCATCGTACACCAGAGAAGATTCTATTTTGAAACATTGATCCCAATAGCTTAACTTTTCCTTTTTACGATGGTAAACAATGATTTTTTTTGTGGTAAACTTTAAAACAAAACAAATTTGCAAATATAATCTTTTTTTATGACTTTGACTTTGACTTTGTAAAAGTTTTTGTTCTTTTTTAAGATATAAAAGATTTAGATCAGTGAAATAGCGGGAATCAATTAGCAAATATGGTTGGTTTTTTTAGTTTCTGTCTAACAATGCGTTCTCTAGAAGGTAGAGAACTTGAAGATTATATTGGAAATTCCAGCCAAAGCTTCTTTACCTCCTGGCACTCCTTCTGACAATAGCAACCAAGATCAGCGGTGATTTCCAGCCATTACCCAACGATTACAGTACGCCTGAGAAGTACAGCGCTTGTTCGGTGAGTGATAACTGTGATAAACATGTAAATCTACCCTAGATCTGCTTATCGATTATCGACAACGGCAAGCTGATATTTTTAGCTTTCCAATGAAACATGAAACGATAAAGATTCGAACTAAAATTTTATCCAATATCTTTAGGATTATTGCAAGGGACAATCACTATCCACTTCGACGGGTTTCCCTTTCCAAGGAAATGATTGGGAGCTGTGCGCTTGCCCGAACGCTCAAGGATCCGGGAGTTTGTGAGTGAAAAGTAAAATCGAAACAACTGAATATACTTAGTCTGATGAAAGA